TGAGCCCCTCCAGCCGCGACTTGAGCACGTTTTTGGACTCGCCCGAGACCAGCGCGCTCCGCTCGATGCTCGCCTCGGCTGCGCCGGACCCTGCCATCCGCAACACCGGCTTGGGCTTTGCCCGCACCACGCCCATGCCACCCAGCCGCGCGCCGGACCCGGTCGCCTTACTCTGCTGCTGCAACGACTCGAGCCGCGCCGCCATCGCCGCCTTGCGCGCCGCCACCGCCGCCGGCTGCGGCTTGAGCGCTGGTGGCTTGCTCGCTGGTGGCTTGCTCGCCGCTACCGGTCTGCTACTTCCCGCCACACTTGTAAATCGCGCCAGCGCCTCCGCCCACTCGTCCAGCACACTAGCCAGGCTGTGGCTCAGCGCGCACTTGACCCGTCCACCGGCTCTTATCTCTAGCACCCTCCTCGCCCCATCGGCAGCGCCCGGATCAAGCTCAAACCGCCCTCCACCGAGCTCGAGCGCAACCTGATCGCCAAGCCGCAGCACGCCGCTTCCGTCCAGACTCACCGCCCGCGACACCCATCCCGAGCTTGCGCCCCGGAACATCATCCTTCCAGCGCAGATCGATGCCGATCCTGAGCCCGACCCCAATTCTAGCGCCTTTCCTGTCCCAATTCCACCCCCTGCCGCCCGCCCGCCACTCCCAACCGCTCCGCCACGCCCTCCGGTCGGGCGGCCACTGGCCCGTCCTCCGCCCCGGCGACCGCCACTTCCGCCGGTCCCGCACTGACCAACCCCCGCACGACGACCACTTGGACCACCACCACTACCACCAGCTGCTTCCTCGTCGTGGATGTTATGCGCCCACCGGTCGAGAACCGACGGTCGTCCTCGGCGAGCCATTCCTGCTCTCCCTTGCTCTGCCCTGCTCTCTCTCGCTCGCCTTTGCCGCGTCGAGTGCCGGACTGTGACAGCCGCCGAAGCTGGCTGCAGTCACACCACGGCGATTGGCCACCACACGTCGGTGAGAGCGTGTAAGAAGACTCTGCTTGTATTGTGTTGTCGCTACTCATCGCTACTGGCCATGGATCACCTGATCGCGGACGGCACGGAGCCGGGCCTCGAGCCGAGCCCGGACTACGGTGGCAGACGCGCCGAGGACGATTGGCATGCGGCAGCGGAGACCAAGGGTGTCAAACAGACCCAAGGTGACCACCTCGAGGCCGCGCTCACGGCGGAGGACCTCAACTCCGTCGAGTGCGGCGGTGATGCAGCCCTCCCACGCGGCTTCGGACCGGATCATGCTCACAACATGGGCAATCACCTGCGCGCAGCCCCGGACCGAGCCCGGCTCGAGCGAGATCAGGAACATCTCGCCGGTCTCGCCCTCCACCATAACCTCGCCTGCAAGCTCGAGCACGTGGCATGCCACCAGGTACGCCGCCGCCGACGAGGCAAACGCCTCCTCTGTCCCCGATCGCCGCGCGAGCCACTTGGCCAGCGCCTCAGCCTTGCCCGCCTTGGTCTCGTCCGCAATGTCGCCAAGCCCGGCCACCTCGCCCTTGGTTCGCAGCTCCACCAGCCCGGCTTGCGCCCCGGTCGCCAGCGTGGTGTAAGGGTCGAGCTTGAGATCAAGCCCGGCCTGCAGCCATACCCGGTCGATCATCGTGAGCACCGTCAGCACACCCTGCTCCGGACGCAGATCGCATCCTGTCTTGAACAGAAAGTAAAACGGCTCGCCCGCCGTGTCGTGGTTCGAATACGCCACCTTGAGCGTCACCCGCCCGGTTCCGGCCTCCACACGCATCACAGAGCACTCGTCCGCAAGTACCTTGCCCATAACCCACCGTGGATGGAGCGGGTGTGAGACGCCGCGGCTGCGGAGGAGCGGCGCAATGTCGCCAGCATCCTTGGCGCTGCCGGAGAGCAGCGCGTCCGCCGCAACCTGCAGCCGCTGCAGGAACCCGACCTGCGCAGAGAGCGCAGACACTAGCGTGCCCTTGGATCCGCCCTTGACGCGCAGCAGCGCCTCGGTCAGCACCCGCGCCCGCTCGCCGACCCACGGGCACGCCTGCGCCTCGGCACGCAGCGCCCAGAATAGCGCCATCGTCAGCCGCTGCGACGCCCGCGCGCGCGTAACTAGAAAGCCCGCAAGCGCAGACCCGTCGCGCTCCTCGTTCAGCACCGCGTACACCAGCGGAAGGACAAGCCGCTGCAGCAAGTGGTCGCCGAGCCCGCGGATATTGTCCACTGCAAACGCCCGGATTCTCGCGTCCACAAACTCCGTGCCCAGAAGCTCAAGCGCTGCCAGCCACCCGATCGGCGACCACTGTCCGAGATACCCGTACGCCCGCCCCACAAACTCTGCATCCTGCCAGTTGATCCCGCGCCAGATCTTCGCCAGCGCGTCTGGCCGCGTCGTGAGAAACGGCATGTACTGCCACAACAGCGCAATATCAACTCCCGACGCCCGCTTTGTCCGCGCAAGCACAGCCTCGATCTTCTTCCATGCAAGTTCAGACGGCGGCTTGAGATGCCCGCGCGTCTCAAACAGGAACGCCTCTTGCACCCGTGGGTACCGCACCGCAACGCCGGTCGCAAGGCCTGGCTCCACCCCAACCTCCACTACCACCGGGAACCAGCGCGCGCTCCCATCCCGCGACGCCACATACACCGTGTGCCGGCCCAGCAGCAGCAGCCCATCTTCGTCAAACAGCGAGATCCGCGCGCTCCCCTCTCCCACAGCAACCTCCACAGCAGCTTCACGCGGAAGCTCGCTCACCGCAAGCGTAAACGTCCGCTCCACGCTGCCGAGAGGCGCAAGATGGTCGCTGCCGCGCACAAGCCACCCGGTCACACTTGGCGACTCGGGATCGAGTGCAAGGAGCGTCAGCCCAAGCTTCGCCTCGCCAAGTTCCAGCGACGAGACGACCTCCGCCCCGCGGCCCACTTCGGCTCCGCCTTCTTCCGCCGGCGCCGCAAGCATTGGCTCCGCCAGCGCTCTTCGCCGCTCCGCACTGTGCGCCTGCGACACAGGCGCCAGCGCCTGCCTCTTAGCCTCGATCACAAGCTCCGGAAGCTTGCGCGACCGCAGGCACCGCTGCAGGTACAGCGAGCTGATGATTGGGCCCTCAATCGCAGACAAGTAGTCACACAGCCCGCGAACCTTGAGCGCAAACTCAGACGCGTCGCCGCCCTTCACCTTGTTCGACTCCAGGAACGTAGAGTGGCTCGCCCAAATCGCTGCAAGCACTTCCTCCGCCCCCAGATTCACGTTCACCCGCAGCGTCTTGGTCCGCTCGCCCGCGCCCGCGTACAGCCGCACAATTAGCCACTCGGGCTCCTTTGCCTCCAGCGACCGCGACTGTACCCGGCTCTGCCCGCCTCCCTCGCTCGTCTCCGACGACCGCGCCGCCTCGGTCTCGGCCTCGCCTCCGTCCGACATCCACCCACTGTCCGACATGTCAAACTCAGACTCAAACCCGTACAGCTGCCGTGCGTCCCACCCAGACATCACGCCCTCGGAGATTGCACCGTCGTCGCCCGATGACGACGACGACGATGATGATGATGAAGACGACGTAAACGACGCGTGAGAGAGCTCACCCAGCCCGCCAGACGCCCCGCTCTTCGGCAGCACCTCACCTCTACTTGCTGCAGACTCACCTGTCGCCGCTAGGCTGGCAATGCTCTGCGAGGTCATACCCTCGCCGCGCCGGATGTGGTAGTCCACCGACGGGCCCGAGACTCCGCACGACTTGTACCACGCTGCGATCTGGAGATGGATCGTCTTGCGGAACTTGTACAGCATCAGCTCGTATGCGACCTCTTGCGCAATCGCCTGGTTAAAGCCAAACATAATCGGCGGGGGCCGAGCGCAGAGCCGACAGCCACAGTGTCGCCGCTCTTCAGCGTCTCCACAAACGACGACGCATCGTACTCGGGCGACGGTCGGAGCGAGATAAACTCCAGCCGCATGAGCGCCACAAGATCGTCTGCAAGCGTCTCGCGGACCTTGGCCTCCTCGTCCGCCGACGACTCGACCTCGCCCGCCGCTCCCATGATGAACGACGCTGCTCGCGAGACTCGCGCAGACCGCACCGCCGCCGCAGCTTCGCCGCGCTTTCGCCGCCCGGTCCGCGGCAGGACCGCAAGCAGGCCAAAGGCGTCAAACTCTTTGCCAAACACAGCCGCAACCTTGAGCGTCAGTGCCTGAGACGGAGCAAGCCGGTCGATCCGCGCCGTGATGATCCCCGCCAGCGAGAGCGGAACATCTACCTCGTTCAGCGCCCGCGTCGCAACTACCGACGACGCGCCCATGTCCACACGCACCGCATCCGACTCGGCGAGCGCCGTCGCAACCTCCTGCGCAAAGAACGGGTTTCCGCCAGACTTCTCCGCCACAAACTCGGCCACTGCCTCGTCCACCTGCCGCACGTTGAGCCGCAGGCCAACAAGTTGCCGAACATGCTCCTTCTCAAGCGGCGGGAGAACCAGGTGGTACCCAGGTGCTGTGTGGCCCACCAGTGTCTGATAGAAGCTCGGCACATGCGCAGTGTACGGTCGCGACGAGATCATAAACACCACCCTGGCTGAGCTCCCTTTTTGCCCGTACGCCTCCACCATCGCCAGGAGCAGCGACCGCGAGCCGGCGTCAAACAAGTGCACATCGTCCACCGCAATGAGGCTCTTGCGCTCGTCAAACTGCGCCAGCGTTGCCACAACCTTGCATATGTACGCGTTAAGGTCCGCAGACGACGGCCGCGATATCTTGCCCTTGGCTGCACACTCCCGCTGCTTCATCGCCGCCTTGCTTCGCGCCTTGGGCACCGAGAGCGACGTCGTTCGGCTCCGATCCTTGGCCTTGGCCTTGGCTTTGGCCCTAGCCTTGCCGACCTTCCGCCGCTTGCCGCCGCCACTCTTGCGGACTCGCTTGCGAATCCGCTTGCGGACCCGCTTGCGAATATGCTTGCTCCCGCCTTCGCCCACTCCATCGGCCTTCTCCTTGCCCTTTCCCTTTCCCTTTCCCTTGCCCTTCCGCCTCACCTTGGACCGCAACGAGGTCAGCAGCGACCGCCGTTTCTTGATCGAGCGGGGCTGCGCTGAGCTGCTCGACGACGCCGCCGAGCTGCTAGCCGAACCAGCTCCCGAGCATGCGCCTCCGCCGGAGCAGCTGCTGGCCGACGAGCCTCCGTTACAGCATCTGGCCGTGACCTCGTCGGTGTAGGTGTAGGTGTAATCGTACTCGTACTCGCACGAGTCCGACTCGTCACCGACCGAGACCAGCCGCTTGCGGGCAAGGTCAAGGCCGAGCACAGGATTGAGCAACCAGAGCGAGTCAATCATGGATGTGTCCGACGTTGCTCGTGCCAGCGCCGCCCGCGCCGCGTCCTCGCGTGCGTACTCGACGTCCGCAATGCCCAACAGTCGCTCGAGCATGGCGATCCACGGAAAGAACGGAACCTTCCGCTTGTGCGGATCGCCGCAGACATCAAAGACCTGCAGCTTGTTCTTGGCGCCGTTGGCCACAGCTTCTTCCAGCAGCCGTGACTTCCCGATCCCGGCCCCTCCCTCTAGCATGAGCAGCGCCGCCGCCGTCGACGCCCCGCCGTCGCCAGCCGTCATGCGCATCATCCGTTGCAGCACCCGCTGCCGGCCCACAACCTCGACGTTGAGCTCGAGCATTGACTCGCCACGCTTCAGTGCTCGTCCCGTGTGCTCTGCATCCGACGAGAGCATCGGTGCAAAGGCGGCGACAGGCAGTGCCTTGCCCTTCATCATCTTCTCGCCGAGTGAGGTGAACTGCAGCGAGTGGTCGAGGAGCGATGCTGCCCGGACCGTCGCCTGGTCGCACACCACCGGTGAGCCCGGGAAGGCCTTCATCAGCCGCGCAGCTGTGTTCACCATGTCGCCCATCATGGTGTACTCACGCCGGAGCTCGCCGCCCACCACCCCGCAGAACGCCACTCCGGTCGTGATGCCGATCGACGGTGCGAGCCCGAGCTGCGATAGCGAGTCCTGCGCCATAGCCCCAGCCAGAATCCCGCGCAGCGCGTCGTCCTCGTGCGACATTGGCGGGAGGCCAAAGCCGGCGAGACAGACAAACCCCTTGTCATCAACCAGAAACTTGTTGACAATACCACCGTACTTGAAGACTGCAGCCTGGATGGCAAGCACCACTGCGTCCATGGTTGGAATAAGCGCCTCGGGTGGCGCATCAAGATCCAGGCCGCCCACAGAGACAAACAGAACCGTGGCCTTGCGGAGCTCCGCAACCCATTTGCCCTGCCGGTCAAACACGTCGCGCCCAGTGTTTCGCTGGATGACTCGCGGAATGAACATCCGCAGCGCCATGTCCACCCCCGACGCTCCCACAAGGTCTGGGTCCTCCAGCGGCGCCGAGTCGATCGGCCGCACAATGCCACGCAACTCCACACCTTCGCTCAGCGGCACGCCCTCGACCCGCGACCGCACAAGCTCCCACGTGGCGTGGGTGAGAACAGCCTTGTCTGGCGACGCCGCCGTCAGCGCCTCCTCCAGCAGGCCGAGCGACGAGCCAACAAGCACAAACTCCCACTTGTTCCCGCGCCCGCCAAGCTGTAGCATCGTCAACTGCGAGTCCGACGCCAGCGCAATGTGCAGCCGCGGCCGGGTCGGGTCGTCGTTCGAGTTCATCCGCGTCAGAATCTCCAGCGCGCACTGGGCTGCCCGCAGTGCACACGTAGCCGCGCCGTCGGCGCCACTGGGGGATGCCCAAACCGCAAGCAGCGCGTCGCCCGCAAACTTGACTACGTCGCCGCCGTGGTTGCGCACAAGCGAGATGAGCCCACCAAAGTAGTTGTTGAGCAGCGCCACAAGCTGCTCCGCTCCGTCGCGGCACGATGCCAGCTGCTCGGTGAGCGCGGTAAAACCCGAGATGTCGCACATGACCACCGTACCGTAGAACGGCGGATGCATGGCCTCAGCATGCCACTTTGAGCCCACTTGCTGGGCGCACCGTTCCACCACCATCAGCGGCAGGTATGACGACAGTGTCCGCGCAATGACCGCAGAGCCGAGCTTGTGGCCCGCGCCCGATGAGTTGAGCCTGGACCCACTGCTCGCGCCGAGTGTCTTGGTCGATGACGCGCGCTGCAGCTTGTGCAGAACCTTGATCTCGGACGGGAGCTTCGGCACCTTGACAACCCGCGGCGAGAGCGGGAGCGGCGGCGCCACCACGTCGCGCACGTCCTCGTGGAACCGCAGCCGCTGCAGCACCGTCCGCCCGCGGTTTACGCGAGCCGCCTCGTAGTCGGACAGATGCGGCCGCGCAGGCATGGTCAGCAGCGAATCAATCGCAGTGTCGAGCGCTGTGTGTGCCTCGAGCGCTTCGGTCGAGAGTACCGTGAGGACCTCAACGTTGGGTGGGAGTTCACCCAGTGCCACGTCGTCGTCATAGACAACGCCAAACGCCGAGACAAAATGGTGACTCTTCTCAGTCGAGTACGGCGCAAACTTGGCCCGCAACGCCGCGATCCGCGTCGTGCTATCGTAGTACTGCGTCGTCCACGAGTTGGACGCGTACACCGCCATCCGCACGTCCAGGCCGGTATCCGAGTCTGACGCGAGCTCGTCGAGCTTGGGGCCGCCGTCGCTCCTGCTCTCGACCCCGCCTCTTTCAAGAAGCTCGTCGTCAACGTCCGAGTCGAGCTCGAGGTCGGAGCACTCGTCAAAGAACGAGTCCGAAAACGTGATGATCATGTCCTCGTCCTCGCTCCCACCCTCAAACACGCCTGGATACGCTGTCGCCTCCGTTGGCTGCGGAGAGATGGTGTGGGCTGTAGCATAGCCGGACTCGCTCGACGTCGACGCCATCTCGCTGCACCCTGGAGCGTAGCCGGCGACCTGCCCGCGAGTATCATCAGCATCTTCGCCACACACGCCTTCCGAGCCTCCTCCACTCCTACTCGCTGCACCAGGTAAGCCCAAAACAGGCAATGCTTGGGCAACAGGCGGCGGCAGATCGGTAACCGTGGCGTCGATGACCGCGACGGTGGGCCTCAGCGGCCACACACGATCAAACTCGGCCTCGAGATGACGATCGAGCACCACCCGCAGCATGTCCATAGCTGCTGGAAGAGCACTCTCCACTACGCCTCGCAGCTCGCCCTCGCTGCGGCGACGAGAGTGATCAGAGCGCAACGAGGGTGGTGATGACGACGATGATGGCGATGATGGTCGGCGCCGAGCCACAGCAAGGACCCAGGAGCAGCGGACAAAGACGACACAACCAGGCGAAGCAGCGAAAAGAACATGGCCCGCCACCGAGCCCTGGCAGCCACCGGGGACTGGGGTCGGGTAAACGACGCCCAGCCAGCCTGGATCGGGAGCAGGATGGGTGGGCAGGCGGCCGGCAAAGGCGACATGGCCCCACAGGCCACGAGCGGCACGGGTGTGGACGGCAAGGCCAACCCAGCTGGAGTCAGGCACAGCGGCAGGTACTGTCACTTGGCCTGCGCCAACGACCTCTCCCGCCTGCCCTTTGCCCATGCTGCCGTAAGTGCCTGTAGCCGCGTGTGCCCCCCCCCCCCCCCTCCCCTGCCTGTCCCCCCTTCCGTGACCGGGCGCTGGCCTGGCGGGGCTTTGGGCGGTCGGTCGGTCGGTCGGTCGGTCGGTCAGTCGGTCGGTTGGTCGGTCGGTCGGTCGGTCGGTCGGTGGGTCGTTTGGTGGGCTATGGCTTGCGGCCTGCAGGGTGCGGGCTGTGGGCAAGCTGTGCGGATGATAGGGCGATCTGCCAGGGGGATGGGATGGGGGGTTTATACACATGGTATCGCGTTAGTTTTGGGTAGGATATCACTCGCCAAGGGAAGGGATGGGGAACGGCTGGACCTCGGCAAGTGCCTCGCTCGGGATGAGATCAACGCCCGCTGGCGGCATGCGCTTGGGCTGGACAAGGCCGTTGGCGATGAGTGAATAGCCAAAGGAAATCATTGAGGCCATCGAGTCGCGGAAAGTGATGCCGAGGTCGCGGGTGGCGGCAGTGTTGGTAAAGTGCGACCGGGTGCCGATACTGGGTAGGATGGTGGCGACGGCCGAGTCAAACCATGACGCCAGCCAGAGGACAGCGTACGGCGCAGTTTTGGTCGGTACGTTAAAGCCGCGCGAATCAAACTCGGAAGCGAGGTGCTGCGCAAACTCGGAGACCCACACTGCGCGCTCGACGAGGATATACCGCTTGCCGCTCGCATCTGGCGCGGTGAGGGCAGCCATGTGTGCGGCGGCGACATCGCGGACGTCTACACATCCAAACGAGAGCCTGGGCAGGACCGGCATGGCCCGGGTGAGCAGCTTGATCGGGAGCGTCGACGAGGTTGTTGGATAGTTGAGCAGAGTCGGTCCGATGACATAGCCTGGGCAAAGCGCCACAAGGTCAAAGCCCGGCGCGTGCTCGTCCATAAACGCCCAAGCCGCGCGCTCGGCGAGTGTCTTGGACTTGGCGTAGGCGTCGATGGGCGAGTCGTCGGCGGTGTTGGACCAGTCGGCCTCCGAGTACTCGGCCTCCACGCCTGCGATCTTGGCATGTCCTGCGCCGATGGCGGCGATGGACGAGGTGACAACGACCCGGATGATCGATGGCTCCTTGGCTGCAGCAGCAAGGATATGCTCCACGCCTGCGACTGCCGGACGAATGAGCTCGTTCTCGTCACGGGGCATGACGACCGGGAAGGGTGAAGCGGTGTGGAGGACGTAGGCAACGCCAGCCACAGCAGCATCCCATCCATCGCTGTGCATCAGATCTGCCTCGACCAGCTCAAATACCTCGTCCACCGCCACAACGTCGCCCACGTAAGCAGTCACGGCACCCGTGGCGATCTCCATCACACGCATCGCCTTGGCAGACGTCTTGCTCCGGACCGTACCCCGGACGGCATACCCACCGGCCACGGCCGCCACCAGACATTGGCTGGCGATGTAGCCTGAGACGCCGGTGATGAGCACAAGCGGACGGGCAGGCGAGGCGTTGGCGGCCATGATCTAGCAGAGGAGGAGAGAAGTGTGGTCGGTCTCGCGGCTTGTGTCTGTCGCAGCTTGTGTCCGTCGCAGGCGGCTGACGTGTCATGGGCCGGGGGGGGGGGGGGGGGGGGGGGGGGTTACAGCATCAATCGTACCGGGCCAACATTGCCACCCACCTCGTTCTCACCCTCACGACCATCGGCATCGCCACCACTTCCACCAGCATCGCTATTCACACCACGCTACCCTATGGGGGCACAGGCTGATGCACAACGCTGGCCGGCAGATGAGGGTAGTTTTGCTGGTCGCCCTGGGCGATCCCCACGATTTTACATGTGGAGTCCGTTCTGCAAGCCCCACTTGGTCATGGTGCGGATGATGAGCTCGACCTGTGGGTTGTTCGGCGTGTGCCGGAGGAGGGAGATGACGTCGTGGAGGACGTCGGTCGACTGGACGCCAGCGATGATCTGCTGGAAGACGCCGATGCACGCGCCGCGCTTGGCATCCCAAGCCTCGGGCGTCGGATCGGTGCGCTCGAGAATGTCAAAGGCCTGCGCCGCAACGTAAAAGTGGCCCATCGAGTAGCAATCGTTGGCAATGAGGTTGAGGAGGTTGAACGCGTCGCCGCCAGTTGACTCGGTCCGAAGGTAGAGCTCCCACGCGAGTAGCGGCTTGCCGTTCATGATGTACGACCGGGCGAGCCAGCCGAGGTAGCAGAACTCGGCCCGGTACCGCTCGTTCTGTACCATCAGCAGCGTCTCTTCGGCGTCGCCAAAATGGCCACACGCGGCCTTGGCAATGCCATAGTTGTAGTTAAAGTCATCGTCGAGGTAAAAGTATGTCTTGATCGAGTCGAGGTAGACGAGGACCTGGTCGTACTCGCCCACCAGGTACAGGTACGACGCCATGCACTGCCGCCCCGGAATGGTGTCGCACTCGGTCGCCGAGAGCCCCACAATCTGGTACAGCTTCTGCGCATACTCCAGGTTCTCCGGCTCGCCGTAAACCTGCCCGTACGCCGCGTTGACCACAGCCTTGAGGATGTACTCTTGCGGCGAGAGCGCATCCACGTCCTTCATCAGCTCGTATGCGTTGCCCACATCATCCTGCCGCAAGTAGTAGATCGCGAGGTTGAGCCGCGCCTCTGGAAGTGCACCCACCAGGCGCGGAAGGACCTGCAGCGCGTTGTCACCGCCACGGAAAACCACCATGTTGTGCCGGATGAGATCCTGCGCAAACTTGAACGACGGCGTTGCCAGGTCCTCCAGCCGCTTCAGCTCGGCCTCGGCAGCTCGTCCGTCGTACAGCCGAAAGTGGTTGCACGCCTTGAGGTTGAGCGCCACCGCAGAATCTGGGTACGTAGCCAGGTAGAGCGAGAGCAGGTCGAGCGATGAGTCGTAGTAGTCAAGCTTGTAGTAGCAACACGCAATGTAGAACTGCATGGCCTGGTACGTCCGATTGTCCTTCAGCAGCGTCTGGTAGATCTCGATGGCCTCGTTGTAGTGCTGTCGCATGTAGTGAATCGATGCCAGCGACATCTGGTCCTCGATCACGTCGCGGAGCTTGCGGTGGTAGCCCATGAGCTCCTCTTCGTTGCCAAACTTGTGCGCCAGATGAAAGAGCAGTCTGTTCTGCAAGCCCGACGGCCGCGCGCTCTCGGCCACACTCTGTGCCTCCTTGTACTCTCCGAGATAGAACAAGCAAGTGGCCCGATACGTCGCCACCTCAGTGCTGGGGTTGTTGGCCATGCCCGCCAACAGGGTGTACACCTCGAGCGCAGCAGCCGCGTCCCCGTTGTGAAAGTACGCATACCCCAGCCAGAGCAGCAGCTCAGGGTCTTCTTCGTCCGCATGCTTACGATGGAACTACCGTTCCCCGTCCCCCCACAATGGTGGCATTCGTTGTTGTTGTTGTCCTCGTCGTGGTGAGTATGGCCGGGAGGAAGACGGGGGAGGGGAGGCGGACCGACTGGTTTTTGGCGCGCGCAGAAGGCGGTGGTTGGCATGGGAGACGGAAGCGGGGGGGTCAGGGATGCTGGGTAGTGGGGGGTACTGGGAAAAAGGGACATACCTCAAGAAGGGTAATGGCACCTGTATAGTCTCTTTTGCGGATGTAGTCCTCCAGCTTGGGCTTCTTCTTCCGGCGGGAGCGCTTCTTCCGTCGCTTGCCCTCGGCCCCGCTCCCGCCGTCGTGGCCGGGCATGGCAGACTGCGTTCGGGAAAGGAGCATTTGGCCTCTCCCACGCAAAAAAAAAGGCAGACAAGTGCTCGGCGTCATACGACGATGGGCGACGTGCAAAGGCTTGCACTCCCTTGCAGCCGTCAATCAGGGCGAGCCGTTGTAGGCTGTTGCTTCACTGGCGCACTCGCAAACTACATCGCTACTGAATCCAACACCGCCGCCGAATCCATGCTGCTCTCCACGTCCACGCCGATGGTTTCAACGGTGGCTCGCGACGACTCGACGAGTAGGTCTTCCGAGCCAAGCCGATGGAGCTCGACGGCAGTGTCGAGGCTCATGCCAAGCGCACCGGCCCCAGCATCACCGTCGGAATGGCGCGCCGTGGCAAATCCGCCCTCGACAAAGTACTCCTCGGTCTCGGCCGCCTTCTCTTCGCGATTCATCTTGACAACATCGACGGCGACGCCGACGACGATGCCGACCACAACTGCAAAGACTCCACTGACAATGCCCATACGACGGAGCGTAAAGTTGTCGATTGTACCAGCGTAGAGGACAAGCGCAGTTGCGGCAAGCACCACAACCGCGAGGAAGTTTTGTTCGCGTCGCGCGTACGGCCGGCCGGCCCATCGCCAATTGCAGCAACGAGCACACCAGGACCATGACTGCAACCGATGCCTTGGTTGCATCGTGGCTAAAGAACGTCATGCACATGACCACAAGCACCTTGCGCGCCAGGATCGCGCACTCGAACCACCACGCCTCGTCTACAAACCGCCCCACAAGAAACCCGTACCGCGCCATCACCACAGCCTCATGCAGCGTTGCCCGCTTCCACCGTAGCACGCCCACAACAGCGCCAGGGATTCCGGCCCCGTATATGATCACCGCGACAAGGCCCGGCACAAACAAGCCCACCCACCACGCAAAATTGAAGCATCGCCGCGACGGATCGGCGCCGAGCAGCATCCGACCAGACTCGTCGCGTTGGCAGCCAAACGGCGCAAACGCTGCGTTCACCAGCGGCAGGTACAGCAGAACGAGGATCTGGAACCACGCCCGCCCCACGCCGCTAATCACTTCGCCCCTCGACCGCGAGGAGAGCAACACAACCGCGCCACCGATCACGCACAGAAGCGCACCCGCAAACACCGGCAGCAGTAGTGTGAGCACCCACTTGAGCACCCATACGTCTGTCCCCGCCGCCGCCGCGCACTCGGGACTCGTCAGCTCAAAGTCGATGTTGACCGCCGCAGCCACGTTAAAGTACACACGAGCCACCGGACCCCAGTCGAGGTCAAGCTTGCCGTACATGGCGCTGATCTGCAACGCGTTGAGTCCGATCATTGCAGCCGCAAACTTGTACCGCACGCTCTCTGCAAGATTGAACGCCAATATCAAGCCGGCTGCCACAGCGCAGCCGAGCACAAGGATGACCGTCACCACGGCGTTGAGGCGGCTGCTGAATCGACGACACTGCGATCCGAGCCGGTAGTATCCATCAGCACACTCGGCACAAAGCCGTGCCGTGCACCCAGGACGGCACGCCCCCCCCACCAGCACATGCGCTGGCTACCGGGCACGACACAAACAGCGCAGGGTCAGAGTCGTCAGGGAAAAAGCCTGGCCCAGCTACCGGCCGCGCATCGCCACCCGCGCACACCCCGCCGCGTGGACACACCTCGCACCCGGTGTCTGCGTTACCATCCGGGGCCCAAAAGCCCGGCGAGCAAACGCAACCAGATACACTGCTTGTGTTGCTTGCCAGGCTTCCGCCCGAACGCTGTGCACCGACTTGGCACGTTGGCGCCGCCACGCACGACCCGAGGCCGAGATCAAGCGAGATGAGCCCATCGCCGCACGCCACACACGTCACAAACCCATCGTCGCCCGTTGCACCACCAAACCCGACCCTGCACGCTGTCACGTTGAGCATTCCGACCAGCGGTGCAACCGGGAGGCTGCCAGACACTGTCGCCGCCGTGGCTGCCGAGATGCGCCACTCCAGCGCCAGCGGAAGCGTTGCCGCCGCGCTCACTGCTACTGCCCGCTGCGGCACAACCACCGACGCCTCGGCCAGAACCTCGATCTCGCGGCCACTCACCTTGGCTGTCCCACCGGCATCGTCGATGCTCAACACAATCTCCTGTCGTGGGTCAACAAGCACCTGCCCAAGCCAGTCGCACCCGCGAATCCTGGCTTGCACGGCAGAGCCGGACATCAGCGCGCTCGGCATGGGCGTCACAAACTCCAACTCTGCCAGCGGCCCATGGATGCTCGACGGCGCAACAGCGGAAAAGGAAGCGGCGTCGGTGCGGAGCCATGGCAAGTCGTCGGGCCTCGCTCGACCCGGCACAAAGCTCGGGTTCGACGCGGCGCACACAAACACATCGTCGCCAGTGCTGCCAAATGAGGTCCCGGATCCGCGCACAGCCACCGGCGCGCCACACAACACAGCCGCGGCGCCGGCATTGGTTGCGGCATTGCCCGACAAGTCTGCGCCATCCACTAGACTCGTCACGCTTACCAGGCTGTGCGGTCCCACGACTGCCCCACTCGACGCCATTGGCACATCCGCCGACGCCGTTGCGCGCATCAAGCCGGTGACCACGCCCCTCTCGCACCACGCAACACCGCCGCCATACTTGGCCGAGTTACCACTGACAATTGCTCGCGTCGCAATGAGCTGGCACTCGATACAGGCCACTCCACCGCCCAACCCGGCCGCGACGTTGTTGGCCACTTTGGCGCCAGGCTGCAGCTCGACGAACGTGGCATAGCCGGCACCGATGCCTCCGCCCGACCCAGCCTCGCCCTCATTATCCCCAACCACGGCGTTGCCAGTAATGACGACACTCGCGCCATCATCAACTGCAATGCCGCCGCCGTCGTCCATTGCCGTGCATCCACGCACCTCGGAGCCGGCTCCGAGGACCGCCTTTGACCCGGCGCCGGAGACATAGATCCCACCACCACTGACCGCGCTCGAACCCGAGATCGACGAGCCCATTAGTTGGAGCGCGGCGCCGGCAACAACCAAAACGGATCCGCCTTGGCCCATGTTCAGCAGTGGCTCGGTCCGCGCCTGGGCCGCGCCATCCACCACGGTGCTGTTGATCAGCTCCAACCGCGCGCCCGAAGCGTCAACCCGAAGACCGGGCGTGCCATACAGCGAGTGTGTCGCCGTTCGGCTTCCTGTGGCGGGAGAGCTCGAGGCTCGAGGGGAGACCGAGACCAAGACAGCCACACACGTCTTGCAGACCACAGGCAACCATGGCAGAGTCTTCAGTACGGGCGGCAGGTAGAGAGAGAGAGAGAGTGTGTGTGTGTGTGTGTGTATGTGTGTGTGAGAGAGTGTGTGGGTGTGGGTGGGTGGGCATGGGCGTGGCGTGAGTGTGGGTGGGCGGACTGACCTGTGTGGTGACTGCTGTGGCTGCGGTTGGTGAAACGGACATGGCCTGGGCTGGGCGGACATGGAACAGCTGGAGGAGGTACGGAAGGGAGAATGAGGTTGGGTGCGTGCGTGCGTGCGTGGGTGAGGTAGGAAGGGTGACTGCTCTTTGTGGGTGACGGTGGCAGACGGTGGTGGTGGTGGTGGTGCAGGTCGTGGTGGTGGTGCTGCTGCTGCTGCTGCTGGTGGCGAGGGGGGCGGTGGAGGCGGGCACGTTGACAGAGGGCGCAGTGGGCGCGCTAGTCGAGAACGGGAAAGAGGGGGGCAGGTGGGGCAGGTGGGGAGGAGAGGGAAAGGGCGATGACTCACCGCCATCTGTGTGACGGATCATGCTGCTCCGCCGACACCATCGCTGGCATGGGACATGGGGCGCCGAGGACAGACGTTCAAGCTGTTCGACATGGAGGGTGTGAACAAGATCAAAAAGTCGGATGTGGGCAACGTGATGAGGTGCATGAAGCTGCGCCCGGACGAGGGCCAGCTTGCTGATCTAATGGCAGAGTTTACCTCGGGCAACGAGGTGACGCTTGACGAAATGCGCCAGATCGTCGACAAGTACCCGTCGATCGCCACCCACGAGCTCGACCCGGAGGCCATCAAGCAGGCGCTGTACATCTTCGACAAGAAGGGGACCCGTGAGATCCCGCGTGCAGAGTTCCTCTCGGTCATGTCGTCGACCGCCTTTGGCCACCCGTTCTCCAACGCCGAGATCCAGAACCTCCTTAACCTCCTCGGCATCGACGACGACGCCGACGTCCCCATCGACGCCATGGTCGACAAGTTTGCCGAGGACCTCTGATCGCTCACTTGCCTCTACACAGTAAACTCCGCATACGTCCCGGCAATGCTCACAGAGAGATTCTGCCCGTCGCCGTCGTCATAGAGGCGGAGAGAGAGCGAGAGGTCGAGGCTTCGCTCCGGTCGTGTCAGCAGCTCCGCCCGTCGTCGTGTTGGCGGCAGCGCCGCCGCCGGCGAGAGCGAAAACAAGTCAATCATCCGCGAGCCAGACGTCGAGCGCCACGACACGCCTGCCGCTGGCTCCTCAATCTCGGCATCGCTCTCGGGCTCATCGGCTTCGGACGACGCCGCCGCCGACGACGACGTGTCGGCCGGGTTCGGGGCTAGCTTGATGGGCGAGATGTGCTCGAGGCCCAGGACCGAGTGCGCCCGAGCCATATCCGCAGGGGATGCCATCGGCAGATCGTAGTAGGAGCCAGCCGTCAGACTGGTAGCGCTGGGAGAGATGGCGAGGCTAGCCATGCTCGTGCCCGCGGCCAGCCTCGGCTCGACAACCACCTCGAGGCCACGTGGAAAGTCGAGCGCGTTGTGGTGCATCTCTGACCAGTGGACCATGTTGAGTCGGCGACGGAAAGCGGCAAAGCCGCCGTCGGTCAGATCGATGCCGCAAGAGTCGCTGGGCGCTTGGGCCAGCTCACCGCTCGACGAGCTCTCGAGCAGCGGGCGGCGCGACCAAGGACGAAGCCAACGACGGCGGCCCTTTCGTCTTGTCTTGGATTTCTTTTCCTTGCGCCTCCGCGTACGGTCTGTGATCCTGCCACCGGATCGTGCAGCGGCAGCAGCAGTGGAGACGGCGGCGCGGCAGTCGTCAGACCAAGCCGCAAGCTCGGCAGCGATCCAAGCAATGAGATTGTGCTCGCTCCGTGGCGGACGAACAGCGTAAAGCCCCGTCAGCGGAGCATCTACGTCATCGAGCAGAGCATCAAGCGCCGAAGGCTCGGCCACATCGTCGCCGGTCATGGCCCGAGCCCAGGGCGGGAGAGCAAGGCCATCCAGCGGCCACACATGCAGTTCATGCCCACGACAGAAGACGGCCACGGAGCCCCAAAGCGACGACGGTGCATGCGGCACAACCACAAACATATCACCCGACACAGAGCTACCGATCGGAGACCAACCGATTCCCACCTCGCCGCCATCGCCATCATCACCACCACCACCAGGGGCCGGCGAAGGGCCGGCGGCGGCGACGGTTGCGGCCCAAGGCGGCAGAGACAGGCGCGGCGGAGCGGCGAGAGCATGGGCCATCGGCGGCAGGCCAGAACAGGATGATGCCAGAGCGGTAGCCAGAGCCACCCGCATTGGTGGGCCGGAGAGATAGAGTGATGGCCTGGCCCGGCGTGAGGTGGCGTGGCCGGAGTTGGGGGAGAGTGGAGACACGGCAGGCAGGGAGAGCGGGTGAGCAGCGTGCAAGCGTCGCCAGAGGTGATGACCGAGGACACTGGCGGGCCGCGTGTTTGAGTGCGTGCGTGGCCATCGCAACGCCATATCATGATCTGGGACTGAGCACAAGCGATCCCCCCCCCCCCCCCCCCCCCCCTTTACCCCATCAGCAGATACGCCAGCTATCGCCAGCTGCCCGCCCTCCCGCTGCACCCATCCCCCACATCCCATCCATTGGCCACACCAGTACCCATCACCCTCGCCCTCTTCAGCTCACTCCCACCATCATCTCCCCCGATCAGATCAGATCAGCCACTCCATGAAGACCAATCCCCTCCCCTCTCCCCCCCCTCTCCCACCTCCGGCCCCTTTCCCCCCAGCTGTCACCAGCTGCCGCTCCGAGACCATCACCACCCATCACAGCCACAGCCACCACCCCTCCCCCCCCCCCCCACCCCACCCGCCACCACCCACCACCCACCACCCACCCCCACCCCACCCACCCCCTCGCTCTCTTCCATTAGGTCATGTCTGCAAACATGTCTTCGGTTAAGCCACTGGTGGAGCCGGGAACGGCTGTGGCGCCCGAGGTTGTGCCTGCCGAGTCCAAGCTCTCGTGGCTCCAGCTGCCGTCGTTTGCTCCGCTCAATGCCCGAGCTGATCGTATGGCGTGCCGAGGGTGTGGACGGAAGAGCAAGTACTTCTGCCCGCAGTGCAAGGTGTTTATGGGAGACATCATCGATGGGACTGTCCCTCGTATCGATCTCCCCATCGATCTCCACATCATGCATCATCCCAAGGAGAAGCTGGCAAAGAGCACCGCTGTCCATGCCGCTGTCCTCGCCCCAAACACAACCTACTTTCACGAGTTCCCGGACATCCCTCGCTTTGATGCTGGTGATACTCTGCTGGTCTACCCGGATCCGGCTGCTCCCACTCTTGACGATCTTGCTGCTGCGGGGAAGCTCGCCAACTACACCCGCGTCGTCTTTGTCGACGCCCAGTGGCGTCAGTCGCGCGCCGTCATGCGCCACGCCAATCTACAGGACCTGCCGCGTGTCCGCATGAACTCGTACGAGACTCTGTTCTGGCGCTACCAGCCGGGCATGGACGCCACCTACCTCGCCACCATCGAGGCCATCTACTACTTTTACCGCGAGTACGCCCGCGCCGCTGCAGACGACGGCTCGTACGACGGCCGCTACGACGGCCTCATGTATCTCTTTGCCCACCAGTACGAGCTCATCCAGGGTGTCTACAACTCGACCGGTGCCCGCTTTGGCCACATCCCCTCGTTCCCGCGCATCGCTCAGAACGCCGCCGCAGACCAGCCCGTCGACAAGCCGGCCGACAAGCACGTTGACACGCCGGCCGACAAGCCGGCCGAGTAGCCTGCCGAGTAGCTGGCCAACTAGCCTCATAAATCAATCCGTCGTGTTGCGCACGTAGCTCACAGTCCTGATACAGCCCACGTCACACCACACTGATACACTTGTCTCGCCGACCATGGCGCTCCGATGGCCGTGGCAACGATGGTATCCTCTCCACCACGCCATCTGCCGCCCATCGCCCAGCGATGCGTTGCAATTTGCCGCCTCCACCGGATCCTGCGTCTTCTGTCGCCTGCCTGATCCCTCGCCTCTGCCCGGGCCGCCGCAAGCCGCTCTTCCCAGCTTCGTCGTCATGCCCGACGCGCGACCGCGCGCGACCAAGCACAACCTCGTCATTCCCACCAGCCACATCGGACTCGACGACCTTGTTGCCAAGCCTGATGCTGTCACAGTACTTTATCATCTTGCTCGCCTCGCCCTCGACAGCCTCGGCCGGAGCAAGATCAAGCCAGAAGACGGCCTTGTCGCGCCCGATCTCCGCATCGGCTTTCACCCGCCGCCGTTCTGCTCGCACCCACACCTCCATCTCCACGCCATCGAACTTCCCTTTACCAGCCACGCCAACTCGCTCCGCTTTGCCGCCAACTCGCTCCACTTTGGTTATGTCTCGCTCGCCCAAGTCATCGATCTCGTCGCCGCCCGCGACGCCTCCGCCTACACCGCCGCCTCTCGACCGCCGTCCCCATGACCATCCGCCGCCGTCCGCCTCCTTCACCACCACCGCCACCACCACCACCACCACCACCACTGCAGAAGCACTACCTCGCCACTTGTACCCGCTACCTCCCCCCATCCCCCTCCCCCCCCCCCCCTTGCCTCCCCTTCAATCCCCGCGCCGCCATCGCTAGACAACAGCCAACCCAGCCAGCCAACAGAGCACAGCCATTGCCCACATCCACGATCATCGGATGATGGCACGCTACACTGGTGGCGACATGGGCGATGTGTGCATGGTGCGGGTGCTGTGCCCTCTACTTCTCTGGTTGAGCACTCTCCTCTCCCCTCACTCTTGCCATCGGCCACACTTCGCTCACCCACCGGGTCATCATGGGCATGTCCAGGGCGGCCAAAGTGGCTGAGGGGAATGAGAGCGGAAGTGGAGAGATGCTCGAGAACAAGAGGTCGACCGAGCACAGCAGCGCAGCCTCGCACTCGTCATCCGAGTTGGTGTCGTCGACGGAAAAGGATGTTGTCGAGGAGAAAGGCAGCATGGGCTCCAGAGTTGTCGAGGATAACGAGAGGCTGGCCAGGTGGAGGCGAAAGTCGCGGGCAGGCCGGCGCGGAATCAAGATCGCTGGAGTTGGAGCTGTTGTCATTGCTCTAACTACTCTGATTGTGCCGCTCGTCATGGGCTACGCCCGCAACGGATCCATGATGGGCTTGGCCTTTCCGGGCCCAGCAACGGTGGCGCTCCTTGCGCTGGCCGGACTGGTCAGCCATCGCGCCCACCCGCTCGAGATCTGGGTCGTTCCGGTTATATTCGCCTTTATCCCCTTTGTGGCTTCCTTTACCGTTGCTGGTGGCTATCTCCCCATGTTTGTCTCGACCTACACCGAGCTGTACACTGGGCCGATGCCTGCGGCGGGAAGCGCGGGCATGGAGCGGATGCTGGCGCCCGGCATCTCGTGGGCGCGGCTCGATGCCGGCTCGTACGAGGTGCTGGCCAACCACACGGCGGTGATGATGAAGAGAAACAGGCACGGCGATATTGCGCCGTGGGCTGCAGTGGCGCCGCTGGTGCCGGCGTGTGGCGCCGGAGGCTGCACCGGCCCGCGGACAGTTGTGGCCTGGATTGTTGGCTGTCCTTCGTTTGAGTGCGACGGGCGGGTGCCCAAGCTTCCGATCATGACCTCGAGCGAGCACCTGGTGCGGAGCGATATGCGTCTGTTTGGCCGGATCTACGGCTCGTTTGGCGCCGGCATTGCCTCGTCGGTGGCCTCGTTTGGTCCGGACCTTGTCCTGGGCTCGAGCTTTGCCACCTTTGAGCTGACGAGCCTCGCCGAGGCACGGCTGCGATTCGGCCTCCTTGCGCTACTCACGCCTATTTTCTCGCCGATGGTCACCTGCTTAATGATCGGTTGGGTGTGGTTCGACCTGCTCCCGCCGGACCGGGTCGGCGCCTGGGGCTAGACCGCCGGCGGCGGCGGCGGTGGCGGCGGTGGTGGTGGTGTGGTTCACGGCTGCAGACACAGCGAGATGGCCGGCGAGGCTCAGAGTGCGCCAGTGGCGACGGGCGCGACCGCCATTGGCAGCGGGGTATCACGCGATGGCGGCAGCACGCTAGCAACCAGCGGGACGCTGGCGGGCGGCACGTCGATGACGTCGAGCGTGTCCATCGGATGGGTCGGCGGCACGACCGAGACGTCAACGATGGCCTCCCAGGTCGGGATGGGCTGGTCAAGCGCAGTTGGCGGAGCCCAGACGTTGAGCAGGCGTGAGTACGGCAGCAGGGTACGGATGGTCTCGTAGACCTGGGTTGGCTTCTTGCGCAGCTCCGGATCGCGCATAAAGTCAAAGATGACGTCAGTGTTGCGCTGGTGGCGGAGGTCGAGCGAGCGGCCGCACTTGCGAAAGATGAGCAGCGTGAGCTTGGACGACTTGAAGACCGATGAAGGCGACTCGTGGAACTTGTGGTTGCGGTTGAGGACGATCCACACCAAGTTCTCGACGTACTTGAGGCCCCAGGCCTCAAAGATGCGCACAACATGCGGGAGCGTGAGCTTGTCGGTCCACACAAAGATGAGGCCGCCCGGGAAGAGCGCGTCCGAGAGGCGTAGCTCTTCGAGCTGCGAGATGGAGATCGAGTTGGGGAAGGCCGGCTCCGAGTCGAGGCGGAGGGTGGGTGAGAGCAGGATGCCCTCGTAGCCCTCGCCAAAGACATCCCAAGGCGTGCGGAGAATGTCGGCGACGCGGACGGTACCGGGCGACCGGCCGTGCTCCGAGAGGCCAACAAGGTGAGAGGCCTCCATGAGATCGGGCGGGAGCGACGACGGCGGCTGGCCGGCGGGCCGGATGCGGTGGCACCATGTCCGCAGCTGGGGGTACTCGGGCAGGCGGATGTACTGCGGCTGACGCGGGTCGACGTCCTTTTCGCGCTTCTTGAACACAAACTTGCGGCCAAACTCGTCCAGCAGTTCGCAGCGCATGAACGAGGTCCGCGGCTTGGGCACCGACGCCTTGGCCTTCTTGGCCGCCGCCCGCGCCGCCTTGCGCTCGCGGATCTTCTGCGCTCGCATCTCGCGCCGCAGCCGTGCCTCCTCCATCTTGCGCGCCTTGGCTTCCAGCCGTCGCGCCTTCTTCAACGCCGCTGCCGCCCGCCTCGCCTCCATCTTGGCCTCCATCTTGGACGACTGCGACCGCTTGCGCTTGCGCTTCTTCGGCTTGGCCGCATACTCAAGATCCCACCATCCGTCGTCCTCCAGCACCGCCACAAACGCCGCGTCGTCGTCGTCCGACTCGGAGTTTTCGAAAAACGCCTCGTTTTGCTCCAAGAACCGGTCCAGCTCGGCCTTGTCTGCCGCCACGTCGCCCGACTCGAACACAAAATCAGTCTGCAGCAGCGTGACTGGCTGCAGCGACGTCATCCGAAACACCTCCTCCAGCTGTGCCTGCGTCAGTTCCTGTGAGCCCGACTGTGCCGGCATCGACGCCCTGGTCGTATCCACCCCGCGATCCTCATCTCCGCCATCCGCTACCACCTCACCGATCGCAGTTGCCTCGGCCGCCGACACCTCGGCCGCCTCGGCCTGGGCCGCCGCCTCAGCGGCAGCCTTGGCCTTGACCGACTCCAGGGCTTCAAACTTGCGCATGATCGACTCGATCGATTCAAAGTCCTCCGCGTATCCCACATACAGCGATGCCCTGTGATGTCCTGCGTGAGTTACTTGACGTGGCGAGCGAGTCTCTGTAGCAGCTGGCTGCCAACACTGTCACCGTTGCAGCTGATCAAGGCCATCAACACAGAAGGCGTCGACATTGATGCCGTCGGCGTCCACAACTGCACACCGATCATGATGATGATCGTGACGATGACGATGATGATGATGATCTTGATCGTGCATGTGGCGTTGTACGGACATATATAATGCGTGTGTGTATGTAGTGGGGGGGGGGGGGGAGCCATGGGTTGGTTGGCACTATTGGTTGCCATTCATCACCATTCGTTGCCATTCATCACCATATCGTTACCGTTCGTTGCCAATGATCACACCCTTGGCTACACTCTCGGTTGCCTGCCGAGCGGTCACTCCGCTGGCTCGACGGCTTGAGATTTCCTCACATTTACCTGTGCTGGCCATCTTTGCCAGCATATCGTGCCAATTGGCACGGGCCCCATCGCTAGCTCGCGTACACACGAGATCAAGACCCCACATCCGTCGCCAGCTGCTGGCCACCGCCACCGGCCACCACTCGTCGCCATGTCCGCCAACCCGCCGGGTGCCCAGGCCATTCAACGGATGGCTGCAGAGGTCTCCGCCACCCATGCCTCGGTCACCTCGTCGCCCATGCCTTCGTCTCTGTCTGCAGGTTCTCTAGCGCCCACAGGGCGGGCTCGCGAGCGTGGTGCTGCTGCAGGGACCGCCGGCGGCGCGAGCGGCTCGCCGGGTGGCGCCGCGTCTGTGGCAGGGCCGAGCATCGGCGGCAATGCCACCGGCGTGTCAGGCTCACTCGGCAGACGGAAGAAGAAGCGGCTGCCCGAGTTTGATGATGACACCCGGGCCGATCTGGCCAAGGCCTTTGCCTTTCTCGACCACGATGGCTCGGGCCGCATCGGTCCGGCAGAGCTCAAGATCGCGTTTGAAGCCCTCGGCAAGCGCCCGAGCCAGGAGGAGCTGAAGAAGATCGTGGCTCACTACGGGAAGCGGGAGGCATCGCTTGATTTTGACCAGTTTGTCACCATCATGCGCGAGAAGATGTGGGAGGAGGATACCGACGAGGACATCTCCCGCGCCTACGTCCTCTTCAATGCGCCCGAGCCCTTCCTCGACACCTCAGTCCTCTTCCCGCCGCCGCCCGACCAGGTCCGCGCCAACTCCTCCACCCTTGACAAGCTTGTCGAGTCTGCCGATGGCATTTCTTTTGACGACCTCGCTCGCATTGCAGAGCTTGTGGGCGAGGAGCTCACCCACGAGGATCTGCAGGAGATGATGGAGGAGGCCTTCCTCGCCGGCGGCTCCTCCGCCCAGCGCCGCTACGTCCCGCTTGACGATGCCGGCTATCCCGACCTGCGCATCACCCGCGAGATGTTCGAAAAGGTCATGCGCGAGGGTGCGCGCTCCTTCACGGGCTCGTAGTGTTTACCGCCCCGCCTCGTCGGCAAACCGGACGCGGCCACGCCGCGCGCGCTGGCTGCCTCCCACTCGCGCTGTCACCCTCAGCCCATTGCCGCGAATCTCCACCCGCCGCCCACCACCGCTGCCGATCGCGCGACCGCGCCGCGCCTCGGCTCGCTCCAGTGAGAACAGGCCTGGCGGCCGGAGGTTCGGGTCGAACAGGCCCGGCCCGAGCGTGCCGTCGCACAGCTTGCGCCGCCGCTGCCCCGATGCCTCGGCACGTACCACGCGCATCCGTGTCCCGTCGTTCCCTGCGCGGACGTGGATCACCAGCTTGGCCGCTGGTCCATCCGCCGAGCTCCCTGGCCGCAGCAGTCCCGACATCGACTGCCGCAGCTGGTCGAGCGACGAGACCGACGACAAGGAGTCGACCGACGCCTGTGCTTCGAGCCTGTCACGCCGTAAACTAGATGTGCTATCGGGGACAGCCTCCAGCTCGGCCTCTATCTCGAGACGTGCCGCCACCTCGGCCCGGAGCTCCGACTCAACCTGCTGCCTCGCGATCACCTCGTTCTTCAGCCGCAGCCGCAGCTCCGCAATCTCTGCCCGGCAAGCCGCGTGCCCGTCGCTGCCTCTATCTATCGGGAGGTCCAGCTCCTGCTGCGACTGTGCCAGCGACGCCTCGGCCTTGGCGATCACTTCAGATATCCGCGATGAGACCCGGAGGCTCTCAGACTCGACGAGCTGCGACAGTCGCATGCTCGCAGAGCCGTCGGCGTTGCCATCTCCGGCCTCGGTCTCGGGTGCGACTAGCGGCCCCGCATACGCGTGCAGCTGCGCCAAATACGGCGATGCAGACCCATCCCATGATCCAAGGTCCATCGATAGTCCCCGCAGTGCGTCCATCAGCGAGAGCGCCGCCTCGTCCGAGTCATCGTCCTCTGCCGCATGCTGACGCTGCAGACTGTCGGCCAGCGGCGAGACCATCGCTGACGACACCAGTTCCATCGCCGGTGACGCCGAACGCTGCCGTCTGCGCACCAACGCGGGCATCATTGCCCCGCCGCTCGCCGACCACGAGCCCGAGCCCGAGCCCGAGCCCGAGCCCGAGCCCGAGCCCAGCACGCCCCTCCCAACACTTGCCGCCGCCACAGCCTGCATGCCCTGCTGGACCTCCATCGCGCGCGCGACGTGCATTACCCTTGCCTGCATCACACCGCCATCATCATTACCGTTGCTCTCCCCGCCGTTGACGATCGCCACGGTGTCGGAACCACGACCTCCATGACTGCCACCGCCGCCGCCGCCCCCAGCACCTGCCACTGCTGCTGCTGCTGCTGCTGCTGCTGCACCACTCCGCCGCCCCATCAGCGATGACTGCCACAACTCGTCACCACGCTCGCCACCACTTCCGCTTCTGCTTCCGCTTCCGCCCAGTCTGGCACCGTGCCTTCTTTGCCGGTTGGCCTTCTTCCGCAGCGCATAGTGCGCCGTCAGGGCAGCCGACCGCGCCCGACGAGGCTCCCACGACGCGCTTGGGGAGACAGGCGCGGGGTGCACAGGCTGCGGAGTGGCCGACGGCGCAGGCCCTCGCTGCCCAAGCCAAGCCTGTCGTCGACCATCTCGCCGTGCTTCTCCCTCGCGCCGCCTTTGTCTACGCATCCTCCGCAAAGCCAAGTCTGGCGCCAAAGCCAGCGTCAGGGCTGAGCCCGCCAGCGCTCGCCCGCCTCGGCGCCAAAGGCCGGCACGCCGTCGTGCTCACCACACAATTCAATCGCGGCTATCGGTGTGACTGGACGCTAGTCGGGAGAAGATATGGCTGCTACGCACGAGGCTCGATGAGGAGTGACCGGTCGTAGAGAGCGTCATCGTCGGGGTAAGCGAGTTCGGCGTCGGTGGTGCTCGCCCGGAGGAGGTTGAGGAGGTCAGGGTAGGGAACAAAGTCGTAGGTGAGCGCAGTCTGCCAGCGGACAATCTTGTGGACCACGTGCTCGGCGACGTATGCGCCCTTACGCATGTTGATAAGCCCAGTCTCCGCGTCGATGTCTGGGTTCGCCTCGTCCATCTTGAACAGATCCTGCAGGTACTGGCCAAGGTACGGGATAAAGGTCGGAAGCGGGTCGAGAAGCGCGGCGTCGGGCTCAAACGACCGCGGACCGGCACCGCGCGCCGGATCAAACAGCAGTGTCCGCAGCTGGTCGAGTACCGCCCGCAACTCGTCCGGAACGAGCGCCCACGACGCGTGCAGCCGCTTGATCGGTGTCGAGACTAGCGCAGAGACGACCTCCATCAGCCCGTTGGCGTTGGCCAACTCCCCCAGAGCGTGGGCCACCCGAATGTATGCCTCGAGCACGCAGGCACGCGCCTCAGGCGTCGGCTCCTCGAGCACCGCCACCTGGAACCGACGGACCATGGCGTCAAAGTGATTGATAAAGGCAAGGATGTTGGGCGCGAGCGCGTGGGCCTGCGCATGCTTCCACGCCTTGTCGAAAAACTCCTCCGGCCGGATCCGCCGGAACAGCTGCGACTCGTAGAGGCACATCTGCCGCGCCACCTCGATCGGATTTGCCGACGCCAATGACGGCGGCCCGCTCGCCACACGAGGCCGCGGCGGATCGACCACCGCCACAGGCGGCGGCCCGGCCTCGCCAAACACAAGAATCGGGTGCATGCAGTCGCCGCGGTTGTTCGCCTCCAGCAGCTCCAAAAGATATTCGGCCTCGGCGACCATCCCCATCCGCGGAAGCAAGACTCCACACAGCGTCCGCAGCAGCTCTGCCGGTTCCGGATCGGTGCCAAAGTCGACGTGCGAGAGCGCGAGCCATCGCTTGAGAACGTAGACAACACGCGCAAGGCCCCAGCTTGCCGCAGATGGTGCAGCAAGCGACGCAAACGGATCATCCGCCCCGTGCGCTTCCGCCAGCCGACAGAGCCGGACCATTGCCGCCTCCATCAGCTGCGTCGGCGAGAGGAACCGCCGGTACGAGACCAGGAAGGCATCGACAAAGCTGTCGTCCGGCGACGACAGCGCGTGGTAGACTAGCCCGCGGATGTTGCCCGACACCACGTGCCGCCGGGACAGCAGCCGGGAAACGGTGCCCCTGCTGTCGGTCGACGGCGGGCCGGAGCTCTCTGTGGTCACCTCAGCCGCGACCGGACACAGTCCCGGCGCCGTCCACGGCGAGTGCTCGCACCCGTCGGCGCCGAGGACGCCAACTAATGCCGCCATTTGCCCGGCGGCAGTGCCAGCCAGCTCAGGCGCCGCCATGACGTGTGCCTCGTGGAGGAGTGCCACCAGCTGCCGCTTCTCCAGATGCAGTCGCAGATTCTCCGCCGCCATGACTGCCAGTTGGTGGGCAACAAGCCTGTTGTGCTTGGCCACGTCGGCGGCGGCAACCTGCATCGAGTTGAGGACTTGGAAGAGGCCGGCCTTGGTCCGCGGCTTGCGCCGCCGCCGCCGCCGCGGCCGGCCTCCGCGCCTCCCGGCCTCCATCGCCACCACCGCAGGCATTGACGCATGCTGGCCAACAATGACCATCGAGCTAAAGTCCGAGTCGTGGCCGCCGTCACCAACATCGTCGTCGTACGAGTACTCGTCGCCGTCGGATCGCAGCTCCAAGTCAAGCGTGCTAAAGACTTCGGTAAACGACCGCGCGCGCTGCCGCGGTGGCCTGGCGTCCAGCGACGAGTACAACGCTGTGAGGCCCAATCTGCCACTTCCGCCGCCGACCCCGCCAGCGCCTGGCTGCGGTGCAAGCAGCGCACCCGGCGCCACTCCACGAACAAGCGCGGGCGCAAAGGCTGCCGCTCCGGTCACATGGTCCGTCAGCAGCTCCATCGTCTTGATCAGCTTGTCCCCAAGCTCTACAAGGTGATACGCATCCCAGCAAATGACTGCATTGCCGACAGCAAGAATGACCAGCACAAACAGCATGAGCACCACGTTCAGCGCAGCTTGGATCCGCAGCGTGTGCGAGACGTTGAACCGCGCCACAGACGTGTCGGTCGTAACCGTCTCAATGAACGTGTTCCGCACCAGCCGCATGTCAAAGTCGCCGCCGAGCACCACCGTGTTGTTCACCACCAGCTGCACCGCGCGCACCGACGACGAGTACGGCTGCAGGTAGAGCGGGATGACAGATTGGAGCGCATGCTGCGGATCCAGCTGCCACGCGCCCTCAACCGCATTGAGCCCGGCCTGTGCATGCGGCTGCCACTCGAGCGGCCATTGGAGGAGAGTCGCCGCAATAAAGAGGAGGAGCACAAGCGCAGTCACCTTGTTGGTCGTCGATTGGATGATGACCTCGCCAAACCGGAACGACGGCGGGCCTGGTTTGCTCGGCGACGTTGCGGCCTGCTTGGTCGGCAGCGCAAAGAACGAGGTGTTCATCCCGACAGCCTCGTCACCAGCGCCCGGCACCGCTTCGTCGAGCGCGTCCACTGGGTGTGGCTGCTGCTTGACGATCTTCTCGATACGAACCAGTGTGAGCAGCCGTGCTGCCCGCGCAGACACCCGCGCCTCCCGCCCAGCCTTGGCCAGCTTGAACGACGCCGACGAGAGCAAGTCGACGCCAAACAGCGCCGCAAAGTCGGGCGCAAACGAGAGTAGAGTCACTGCATCGAGGATGAAAAAGAACGAGGTGAGGTACTCGCGCCCGCGCACAATCGCCGTCACCGCCATCTCTACCACAAACATGACAAAAACAACAAGCTTGAGCAGGAGAAGGAAGAACGGAAGATTGGCATCTCGCGGATCCGGCAGCTCGGCCAGCACCTCGATGTTGTCCACAAAGATAACGTAGATGGTGCCCATAATAATGGCCCAACGGAAGCCTGTCGACGCCAGAATCCTATCCGGTATGCTGAGCCACCACTGCAGACGGGCGTCGTCATCATCATCGTCATCATCATCGCCATGATCATCAGCGTCAGCACCAGCCAAGCCGCCATCTAAACCAGCACTTTCCATTCCATAGTGCATGAGCAACGGCATGCGCTCGCCAGCAATGGTCGACCGCGGCGACGGCAGCGATGAGAAGCTCGACCGCAGGTCAAGAGCGGGCATGGACTTGGGCATGACCGGAAACGACAGAAACGATTGCACATCAAGAGCACCGGTACCAGCATCCTGCCCGACCCCTCCATGCGCATGTGCCCCGTCAGCTCTACTCTCCTCAGCCCCGCCATCGCCAGCCCTGCCATCGCCAGCCCTGCCATCGCCAGCCCTGCCATCGCCAGCCCTGCCATCGCCATGCTCTTCGCCTGCGAGCCATGTCGTCGACCCGTCACGCGGAGACTCTGCGGTGGTGAAGGACGAGCTCGAGGAGAGCAGCAGGGAAGCAGGGACCACACCTGCTCCTGCTGCGTTGATGGACATATCGTCCCCAAAGTGGAGGTATGTGTCGAGAGGGTGGGGTGGTGGAGTGCTGGTAGTGGCTGCCGTTGGCCCTGGCTATGCCTTGCCGGTGTCGCCGTGAAGCGGTGACTGTCGCATGGCTTGCCCACTTGGCCACAACGCGACAGGCAAGCAACAGAGAGGGATGCAAGTGTGACTTTCACTCAACAGCTTGATTGCGACTCAAACTCACAGGCAAGCCACATCACCGGCCCACATCATCGATCCACGAGAGTAGCCTCACCCTCGCATACAAGCCTGATCCGGGAGGGAGAGACGTCATCGGCAATAGATCGGTGCAATCGGTGCAATCGGTACGCTCCAACCAAGCCAGCAACCACCCGCAACGCCAACGAAACGTATAAATCCAATCTCCGAATGTCGGAGCCCCAACACGTCCCTAATTCCTTCCGTTCGGCTCGCGGGTCACACGCTCCATCAAGACAAGTCACGCGCTCCAACCCGACGGCCCGACCCGAAAGCCGGCCAGCACGTCTCTCTCTCCCTCTTGCTCTCTCTCTGAAAGTTTGCAACGTTATGAAGGGTGCCATTCTCCTGACTGTACTTGCCGTTGTGGTCACACTCTCTGTCGCCCGGCATGTCATTCCTCATGACCATTGGCCGTATGTTGTTGCATCTGCTCCCATTGGTCCCTCCTCTGGTCCTTGGACGCTGTACCTGGCCTGCATGCCGGCGGAGGACAAGCGTGTCGACGTGGGTCCGTGGCCTCTCTTTTTTTTTCCCCGCCAGTGTTGGACGACAATGATGGTGGCTTGGGTTTTTGGCGTGCAGCTAGAAGAAAATGATGGTGGCCTTGGTGATGGTGATGACCATCATCATCATCACCATCACCATCATCATCATCATCGTCATCATCACCATCATCATCATGAGCTCAGGTTTGTTGGTGGTGATGGTGGTCTTTGGAGGGGTAGTAGTGACTCACAGCAAGAGGATCGAGGTGGGGGCGTAGGATGTTCAAGCAGTGCGATCCGCGGTGGGGCAACGAGCGGCTTGGAGATGCTGGCTCGCCGAACACCATCTGCCAGGCTGGGTGCGCCATGACGTCGACGACGATGGCGCTGGCGCACTTTAACACTACCGTCGATAAGCACGGGGTCAACCCGGGGACCGTCAACTCATGGCTGGTCAAGCACGGCGGCTTTGCTGACAAGGATCTGATCATCTGGAGTGCTGTCTCCGGCCTCGGCACGATGAAGGTTGACACGATTCTGCAGTCGCCGTCGGCCTCGGTTGTCCACGGTTACATCAACAAGGGCCACCCTGTCATCATGCACGTCCGCGACAACACCCATTTTGTTCTCGGCATTGGCTACGACTCGGAGAATCCGAACATGATTGTTGTCAACGATCCGGCCTTTACCACCACCGAGTACAACCTCTCGGGCGTGACCGAGGTTGTCGTCTACGCCCGCGCGTGAGCGAGCGGCTGTAAAGAATGCACACCCTTTTAGAACAGAGTCGCGCGCTACTTGATCCGGTTCATGAGCTTGGCGATTTGGTCGAGGATCGCGTTGTGGAGCTCGACGGCTTGAGGGGTGGAGAAGACAAAGACCTCCCGAGCTGCGGCCGCAGTCGGCGACGGCACTTGTTTGTCGGTACCGGTCTCGCCTCCGGCCTCGCTGCCGCCGAGCGCCCACGATGCCGAGTGAGTGATCGGAAGCGCGGCGACGGCACTGGCGTCGCTGCCTATCGAGTACTGGAACCGCTGCCGCTGCTCCAGGACGTGGAACTGGTCGATGTGGCCGTACTTGTGCGAGTAGACCATGATCTCCTGGTCGGGCACAAACGAGAGCGCGCCCTTGACATAAACCTTGAGGCTCTTACGGCCGACCTCGATGTAGACGTCGCGGAGTTCGGTCATCTCGTCGGAGTTGTCGACAGAGGCAGACGGCGGGCCGCCGATGAGCTCCTTGGCCCGAAACCGTGGGTAGCCCGAAGTCGCTGGCTCGGGTGGGCGGTGCATGAGGACAGAGGTCGACGAGACCGACCGCCGCATGCTCCGCAGGCCACTGCCACTTTCGTTGTCTTCGATTCGCAGGTCGCCCAGCGCTCGGTCAAGCGTTGCCTCGTCCTGGGAGAACACCTGCCGGTGCCGCGCATGGTCGCTGCTTGCCAGCCCGTCGTCATCGTCATCGTCGTACCCGTCGCCGACGTCCGAAGCGTCAGAGAGTTCGCTGCCGCGCGGCCCGCAGTCCGACTGCGAGCCCTCACGCTCAAGCGCTCCCGAGTCAAACTCGATCAAGCTCACCAACGAGGTCTGGCGCACCACCGCCCGCGGCACCCCAATGCCGACTATCGACGGATTGGCCGAGATCGACCGCGCATGGTTCGCCCGCGCGTGGTTTGCCCGCGACCGCGGCGCAGGCGGCGGCGGCAGCAGCGGCGCAGACTGCATCATGACCGACACCGCATTGCGCGCCGCTACGTCGCGCCCGCTTGTCGGCGACAGCTCCAGCAGCGAGCCACCAGTCGAGGGGAGGCCGAGCTTATGGCTCGGCGAAATACCTGCAGATGGCGGCGCAGAGTCGGACCGGCCCTGTGGCGACGGCTCGCGCGAAATTACAGAGAGCGGAATGTGCAGCAGAGCACAGTTGGAGTACAGGACCAGACCGACCGAGCCCGTCACCGGATTGCGGACCCGCCACCAGCCCGGCAGCGGCATCGCGCCCGAGTCGAGCACTTCAAGTACAGCTCCGATAGCAGCATCCTTCAGCGGCACAATGCCGGTAGCTTCATCAACAAACGCCTGCGGCAGCTGGGTCCGTGCCAGCGGCGTCACCAGCCGGGCTTGAAAGACAGACATGGTGCGTGGGCCTGGATAACCTTTTCCAAGTAGGTGATCAGCACAGCACGAGTGAGTCGATGATGCAGAGTTGGGTTGCCTTGTCCAGCACGCTGGTCAGCAGCACAAGCCAATATAGCACGACACGATACGATACGATACGATTCGAGCGATACGGCGCGACGCTATGATGAGCAGAGCGTTGCGGAGCCGGGCAAGGATGGACGAGGATGTACGAGGATGTACGAGGATGCGAGGATGTGACGAGTTGTTCTCTGAAGTGAGCTGGTCACGAGGGATGAACTCAGTCAAATTGGATGAAGAAAGTCGCGTTTGGGGGGACCGAAGAGCGGAGAGCAGGAGAGTGGCGAGCGGAGAGCGGAGAGTCGCTGTTCGCCTTGTGTTGGTCGCGTGGCCGACGGTGAGAAGGGATGGCTGTGGTCGGAGTGTGGGTGGGTGGGTGGGTGGGGGGAGGGGTATCCTCCTCGGTTTTCTTTTCCTCGGTGGTGGGTGTGGGTGGGTGAGGTGGTATTAAGGGTGGTGGATACTCATATTTTTTTATTTTAGGGGGGGGGGGGGGAGGGTATCGTGGGGAAGGAGCGGACGGCCAATCGGCAACGCGTGCGGGAACAATTTCTTGCTCGGTGAGAACAGACCGAGCATCTGGGTGATGGCGATTCGATCATGACAATCGATGGATGCAGGACTGGACTCATCGGAATAAAGGGATGTGGGGCTAGAGGTAGTGGTGTTTGGTATGAAGGCTTACAACGGGTAGTAATCATCCCTCCATCGTCCCAAACACCGCGCATCCTTGCAAAGCCTTCCACCACCTTTACTTCAATTGCAGCCAATTGTCGCCATCGAACGCTGCCGCACGGCGGTGGTCGCTCTCGGCATCGACCGCCTCATGGCAACGCTCCTCGAGACGGAAATCCGCGACGCGATCGCTTTTCCCTCCCAAGGCCGGCGGTGGGCATGACTTGCTCACCGGCACGCCATCGATTGTCGATCTGAGCGAGTACCTCGTTCGTCAATCAATCATAATCATTCACCATTGATTGTGATCAATGGATCCGTTTGCGCGCGCGCGCCACACTCACCGACCCAGCAGGCAGTCCTCCCCCCCTTCCCCCCCCTCCCACACACGCACACTCCGGTGCCAGCCAAGCACACGGCACCACACCCAACCACACCCACCACTACCTACTCCAAGTCGTGTAGTTGACGCGGTGGTGGTATGGCGTCAGAAGAGTACGTACAGGCGCTCTCTCTCTCTCTCTCTTTCCCTCTCCTGCCTTCCTCCCCACTCTGGGTGAGCTGGCGGTCGAGGTGGCGGTGATGGCAGTGATGGCAGTGATGTGATGGGCAAAGGCGACGTGAGGAGGGAAGGGAAGGAGGAAGGGGGGGGGGGGAACTCATCAAGGATGGTGGAGTATATAGAATGGACGCCGTGCTACAAAAGCTCGAGGTCCGCGACCAAGAGGTTGTGCAGAAGGCGCTGTGGCGAGCTGGACAGTACGGCGAGAGGATCAAGGCGGCTTGCAGGAACGCGGTCGAGGGCGCAGTGAAGAGCATGGCATCGTTTGTGGAGACATACGATGAGGACATTAAGCGGTTGACAGCGAGAAACTACGCGTCGCTGAACAAGACACTCGCAGGCATCCCGCATCCGGACGAGGCGACACGAACAAAGCTCGCCTTTGCCCAGCTCCGCATCGACGACGAGTCCAACATCCGTACCGACATGACCGCAAACATCGCCGCGCTTGGCGCTGCCCTCCGCTCTGCAGCATCCCAGCTCGATAATCTTCCGCTGCCGCCGCCGCTGCCGTCTCGGGCCCGCGAGCCGGACGACCGTGTCCGTCACATGCAGGCACGGGTCGAGGCGCTAGTCTCAGAGCGCGACGTCGCGCTCGCTGCACACCGCTCAACGGTGGCAGAACTGGAGCTTGAGCGCTCCCGCTACGATGTACTCGACAATTTGTATCACTCGAGTCTGCGCGAGGCTCAAGCAGCGGTCGCCGATCTAGCGGCCGTGGTCAAGCCGGCGGCGACACCCGCCGCCCCACCCCCAGTCCCGGCCGAACAGCCGGAGCTGGAGGCGCAGCTGGACGAATTCCAAGCCGCCAATGCCGCGGCGCAGCTCGAGTGCCTTCGACTGGCCCAGGAACTTGATGAAGCCCGTGTCCGCGCTCAGGCTGCCGAGGCCGAGCTCGCCGAGCTCTCGCACTTTGCCCACGATGCATCTATGCTCCGTGACGAGGCCGCCGCGCTCAACGACTCGCTGGTCATCGAGCGCGAAGAGACCAACGCGCTTGCGTCGTCGCTCAAAATTGCTTTTGACGTCGAGTCCGAGTCGAACCAGGCTCTCCGCGAGAACCTCAAGACCCAGGTCGGCATCACCAGGACCATCAAGCGCAAGCTTGCCGCGGCGCAGACTGAGCTCGCCGCGGTTTCGCAAGCCAAGGCCGACGCGCTCGATCGTGTCCATTCGCTCGAGGCCGAGCTTGCTGCCATGCGCGATGCCGCGGAGCATGCCGATTCAGCCAAGGACGCTGCCGTTGACGCCGTTCGCTCCGACATGGCGACGCAGCTCGCCGAGCTTCTTGAGCAGCTCGACGAGGTCCAGGCCGAGAACGATGCCTTGCGCACCAGCATCGACGCCCTCCGCCCATCAGCGCTTGCGGCAGATGAGCTGCCGCTACTCAACGATGAGATTACCACGCTCCGGGCTGCGCTAGATGCCGCAACACGCGACCGAGACGCTGTCCGTGCAGACATGAACCGGATGCTCGCCGAGCGCGATGCCGCCCGCGCGGAGCTGGCATCTGTCCGAGCCTCATCCCATGCCCAAGCGCTGGTCGGCTCGGGCCACACTGCCCAAGCCCTCGCCGAGCGCATAGTGCTCTACGACGAGCTCAAAGCCCAATACGATGCGTCGCGGAAGCAGTGGGCTGACCACGTCCGCATGCTCGAAGAAGCGCTCGAGTCGCAAAAGACCTCGGGTGCAGTTGCCGGCCTCCGCCGCTCGCTCGCCCGCGACTCGGAGCTCATTCAAGCTGCTCTCGACCGCGACACTTCGCAGGCCTCGATCTTGGTTGCGCCCTCGGCCGATCCAGCGCTCAAGCACCAGCTGACAGCCATGGAGGCCGAGAACCAAGACTTGCGGTCACAGCTCGACCAAGCTATCCTGCTCAACGAGCGACTGACCTCACTTTCTATGCTGAGCTCGCCGCGGACGCCCCAGGGCGCCAACCCGATGGCTCTCCGAGAGCTCGAAGACAGGCTCGATGAGGCGACACAGCTCAACGCACTGCTCCAAGCCCGGCTCGACCGCGGCTCGCCGGCCTCACAGCGCTCTCCGCTCGCGCCGATCGAAAACGCGCCGCCTGCTGATCGCTCCACCAACCGCCTTCACACCGTCATCGAGGAGCTTAAGAACCAAGCCAATGAGGCCGAGGCTCTCAATGCCGCGCTCTCTGCTGACGCGGTCGCCGCCCACACCGCGCACCAAGAGGTCAAGGCTGAGCTTGAGACCGCGCTGGCTGACCTCGCGTCCATGCGCCTCCGTGCCCGTGAAAACGAGGCATCCGTTCTCGCGCTTCAAGCCCGGGTGACCGAGCTCGACACCTCGCTTGCCGACATCACGTTCAACGCCTCGCGCGAGCAAGCAGCCGGCAACGCCGAGGTGCTCGCCGCACTAGCAACCGAACGCGACGAGCTCGCTGCCGAGCGCGATGCGGTCCGCCGCGAGCTACAGGCCGCCGAATCCGCTGCAGCGCTGGCGGATGCGCACGCCCAGCAGCTCGAGGCCCGAGCGAAGCTTCGGGACGACCACATGCGTAGCCTTCAGGCACGCCTTGCCGACGACGCCAATATGACCGAAGACCTCCGATCCCTCGCTGACGAGGCGGAGGCGCTCAACGCTGCTCTTACCACCGAAGCCGAGCTTGCTCGTCGCGAGGTTGACGAGGCCCGCGCTGAGCGCGACGAAGCGCGGGCCGAGGCCGAGAAGCTCCGCCGCACGGTCACTGCTCACGAGGCTCGAGCCAAGAAGCTCAGCTCGCGAGTTGCCGATCTCGACGAGTCGCTCTCGTCGCACGTCGCGCGTTTGCACTGAGCAACGACTCGCTGGCTGACGAGCGCGAGGCGCTGATCTCGGAGCGTGACACAGCACTAGCCGCGCTGGCCGAAGCCCAACTTCGGGTGACGGCAGCCGAGGCCGAAGCTGAGGCGCTCCTTGCCCAACTTCGTGGACAGGCCGATGAGGCCGAAGCGCTCAATGCTGCACTTGCAGCAGAGTGCACAGCTGCACGATCATCGCTCGCTGCTGCCGAAGCCGATCGCGACGCCGCGCTGGTCGAACTCGACGTCGTCCGCCGCGCCGCCGCTGATCGCGCGCATCGCGCCGCCGAACTCGATACCCGCATCGACGAGCTTGACTCCTCACTGAGTGCCGTTGCTCGCGCCGCGCGCGAAGGCTCGGCACTGCCGCATACCTCGGGCCATCACAACGGAAACGCTCTTGCTGAGGAGCGCGCAACACTGGTTGCCGAGCGCGACGCGGCGCGGGCCGAGGCAGACGCTGCGAGAGTCGAGGTTGAGTCCGCTACCGCACGGGTTGCCGAGCTCGAGGCGCAGGCCTCGCTTCGCGATGCACGGACCCAGGAGCTCGAGGCGCAAGCCTTGGTCGCCCTTGAGACGTCTCGTGCCCGTATTTCCGAACTCGAGGCGCTGACCCTCGAGACAAACGAGTTTAACGCAGCGCTTTCTGCAGAAGTTTCGGAGGCGCGCCATGCCGAGGCCGAGGCTATCTACGAGCGCGACCAAGCGCTGGCGCAGCTTGAAGCCCTTCATGTGACCGCGCGGGCGAGGGCGGAACAGGCGGCGAAGCTCGATGAGCGGCTAGAGCTGCTTGACACGTCGATCAACACCCAGCTCATGACCGGCGCTGAGCTCGAGGCGGTCATCGCCGAGCGTGACGGGGTGGCTACCGAGCGCGATGCCGCGCATGTCGCGCTCCGCTCTGCCCGTGCAGAGGTGAACGCCGCTCAGGCCCGCGCCGCCGAGCTTGATGCGCGCGCGCAAGCAATGGAGAGCGCTCACATGGCCAGCTCGGCTCGCGCTGATGAAATGCAGGCGCTTGCGGATGAAGCTGCTGCACTTAATGCCGCGCTTGCTGCTGAGCACAACGCCGCGGTCACAGCCCGTGCCGAGCTGGAGCACGAGCAGGCTGAGCTTACCGCTCGCGTCGCGGCTCTCTCGTCGGAGCGAAGCGACCTCCATGCGCGGCTAGAGAAGGCTGCCTCCGAGCGCGAGGCTCTTGTCGCGCAGCTCTCGGGCTCGCAGAGCCCTGTTCAGGCACTGAAGGCTGCAGAGGCTCAGATTGAGAAGCTCGAGAAGCAGCTCATTGCACCCGAGCAAGCGCTCGCCGATGCCCATGTGCTCTTGGCCGAGCAAGCGCAACGGCTGTGCACGCGTGATGAAGAGCTTGCTACCGCGCACATGCGCGTCGGGGAGCTCGAGAGCCTACTTGCCGGTGCCAACACGCGTGTGACAGAGCTCCAGAGCGCACTAGAGTCATCCACGCGACCCGAAAGACATAACCTCGACGACAATTCACTTGTTGTCGAGATGGAGAACACGCTGACAGGTGCACATGCCCGCATTGCTGAACTTCTGGCTGAGCGCGACGGCCTGACAGCTGCGTTGGCGAGACACGAGGCTCGGGCGCGCGAGCTTGAGTCGAAGGTTGCCAACCTCGACTCGTCGCTACACGAGGTCGCTGAGAATGCCGAGGACAAGGCGCGATCTGAGCTTGCTGACCTCAAGGCAGAGCGCGATGCTGCGGTTGCCGAGCTCGAATCTGTGCGCGCCCAGCTGGAGCGAGAGCATGCGCTCGGGGAGGAGAAGGTGCGGTCTGCAACAGTCGAAGTCGAGACGCTGCGAGCCGAGCTGGACGAAGCGTCGACGCTCAATGGGGCACTTGCGGTGGAAAACGCTCGGCTGGCTACGCTCGAAGCCGAGCGCGATAGCCTCGCGCAAGAGAACCAAGCGCTGTGTGAGCGTGTTGGCAAGCTCGCTGCGCTGCGCGACGATTCTGCCGCAGACGCGCGGAGCCACAAGTCGGAGGCTCTGGAGGCCTCCGCAGTTGCCATCGCTCGTCTCGAGGAGCGGCTTGCAGCCGAGCAGCAGAGCCGCGAGGTTGTCGAGCGCGAGCGGGCGTCGCTGATAGAGGCCATGGCCCAGACGCGCGAGGCCATGGCAACCGCCATGACCTCCATGGAGCGTGAGCGTGAGGCTCACGTCCAGGCGCATGCAGCAGAACTTCGTGAGGCGCTCGCTCAAATGGATGCGCTGGAGTCTGCTAACGTGTCATTGTCGAACGAGGCCGAACGGGCGCGCCTTGATGCTTCGGCCATACATGAGCGCAGCGATCGCGAGTCTGAGACCCGGGTGGAGTTTCTTGAGGCCGAGGTTGTCCGCCTTCTCGGTGAGGTGGCTAGCGCGCGTTCTGACGCCGCTGCAGCTGCTGCCGATACGACGCCCGCTGCTGATCCCACTCTAGACGGTGCTACCGTAGAGGAACTTCAGGCCCGCCTTGCCCACCACCAGGCGAGTGCTGAGCAGTACCAGGCTCGTGTCCTGAGTGTTCTTCGCGGTGCCGAAGCGCTTGTGGACGGCCCTATCAACTCGATCGCTGACGTCCTGCGTGCAATGTCTGCGCTAGAGCTCGAGCGCGACATGGCACGTGACTCGCTGGCTTCGCTTCGCGAGCACGCTGCTAGCTCAGACGCCGAGTTGGCCCGGACCAAAGCTCAGGCAGCGGTCCTTGGTGACAAGCTCGAGGTTGCGCTCGCAGAAAATGCCACGCTCCAACATCTTGTGACTCGGCTCCAGTCCGCGCTGGCTGAGGAAACCGCGCGGTGGAGCGAGGCTGCCTCTCGCGAGCGCTTTGCGCGCGCTTCAGCCGACTCTTCATGGATCTCGCGCCTCGACGATATGGGCGAGCAGCTCGATGCTTCGCTCGCCGCCAACTCGACCCTCTCGCACGAAGAACACATGCTGCGAGGGCAAGTCGACGATCTTCAGGCCGTCGTCCGTGGAGCCCATGGCTCTCTAGACGCACACCTTGAGACCTTGCAGCAGATGCGGGCGTTGGCTTGTGAGTTTGTGGCGCCTGCGGAGCCTGGCGATGTTTCGCAGGACATTGCCGATCAGGCTCGCGAAGTGGAGGCCGGTATGGCAGAGCTCGAGGCCGCGCTGCTGGAGGCCCGCCACTTTTCGCTCTCGTCATCGTCTGTGGCCACACTCTCGGATGCCTCGTTGGTGAGTCATGAGTCGCACATTGGCGTGGCTGCTAGCGACGATCGGGCTACCCAGCTGGAGGTCGAGCTTGCCGAGCGCAATCGCCTCATTGCTGATGTTGTGGCCGAGGTGCGTGGCACACTCGGACTCCGCCAGGTCGAGGTCGCCCGGGTTGTCCGCGCTGCTGTCGAGCTCATCGACGCGCGCGCACCTGACGCTGGGATCCGGGCTGAGGTCGTTGAGCTCCGTGGCATGCTTGAAGCCGAATCCATGCGGTTTGAGACCGCTCGGGCTCGTGCTGTAGACGCAGTGTTTGCGGGCAAAGAGGCTGAGCTAGAGGAGACTCTGGCCGAGGTTTCTGCCCAGCTTTCGGCGCGCGATGCTGAGCTTGCTGCTACGGTGTCCTCGATGCGTGCTCAGGCTGCACGAGTGACCGAAGCTGCCAATGTCGCAAGAGCACTGGTTGATGCCGGTATGCCTGACGAGGGCCTTCGGACTGAAGTCCTTCGACTCTCCGAAGCACTCGAGGTAGCACAGGCGGAGGCTATCGATGCGCTGCTTGTTCAGGACGATGCCGACTCGTCAGCAGATAGTGCAATCTCGTGTTCAGGAAGTGCGGTGTCAGACATTGCCCCGCCTCTTCCTCTTGAAGGGCTCGCCTCTGACACTCCCGAGTCTGACGGTGCTCGGCGCGATGCTGACCGCGAGCTTGATGCTCTTTGTATCGAGCTGGCAGCTGCGCGTGGTGCCGAGGCCAGTGCGCGGGCTCGTTTGGAGGCTGTTTGTGGAATGTTGCGGATGCACTTGGATAGCCTCGCGGCTATCGCGGTCGCAGGTGGGGAGCTTGTGGAGGCTGGGGCTGCCGGCGAATTGCTTCGAGATGAGGTTGTCCGGCTGGCGGATGCGCTGGAAGCAGCTCGTGCCCAGGCAGTCAACGAGGTCTTTGCGAACGGCCAAGATGGCGACGAGGCTCGGGATGAGCTTAATGCCGAGTTGGCACTCTCGCGAAAGCGAGAAGAGGTTCTGGAGAACCGGCTAGAGGCGATGGGTCTCGAGCTGGCCGAGTCGACAGCCAAGGTTGCTGCGCTTGAGGCCAGCGTCGACGAGCTGGTCGTGGAGGCTGATGAGCTCAAGAGGCGCGAGACCGAGGCTGCCGATGCAGCTGGAACTATGGCCCACGAATTGGACGAAGCTGAGGCTTCTGTGGCGATTCTGCAAAATGAGCTGTCGGTCTCGCGCAAGCGGGAAGAGGTGCTCGAGACCCGGCTGGAAGAGACGTGCCTTCAGCTGGCTACGCTGAGTGACGACACAGTCGTGATGCGTGACAGTGTGGTCGACACGCTGCGGGCACGGCTGGCGGTGCTGGCCGAAGCCGCCGCGGCTGCAGATGGTCTCATTGTCGCAGGGGGCGAACCGGTTGATGCGCTTCGGGATGAAGTTGTCCGACTGGCGGATGCGCTGGAAGCAGCTCGTGCCCAGGCAGTCAACGAGGTCTTTGCGAATGGCCAAGACGGCGACGAGGCTCGGGATGAGCTTGATGCTGAGTTGGCACTCTCGCGAAAGCGAGAAGAGGTTCTGGAGAACCGGCTAGAGGCGATGGGTCTCGAGCTGGCCGAGTCGACAGCCAAGGTTGCTGCGCTCGAGGCCAACGTCGACGAGCTGGTCGTGAAGGTTGATGAGCTCGAGAAGCAAAAGGCTGAAATGGCGAAGCGTTTGGCTGCCCTGCAAGACGAGCTGGGCGAGGCTCGCGAACACAAACGTCTCCTCGAGGCGCGGCTGACGAAGTCTGGTGTAGAGCAAGCTGCGCTGGGAAAGGACTTGGTCGGTACTCTGCGGGCAAGACTTACAGTTGTGGCTGAAGCGGCCAATGCGGCAGGCGATCTTGTCGCGGCCGGCATTGTCGATGAGTTGCTTCGTGGCGAAGTTGATCGGCTGACCGTAGCGCTGGAGGCTGCGCGCGCCCAGGCTGTCAACGAGGTGTTTGCGGGTGAAAAGCCCAGTGATGAGACTGATCCGGAGCTTGAAGCTGAACTGCTTCTCTTGCGGGAGCGAGAGGCGGAACTGGAGAACAAGCTAGAGGTGGCTGATCGTGAGCTGGCTGAGTCGACCGCCGAGGTTGCTCGGCTTGAGGCCGAGATTGGCGAGGCCAAGGCGCGCGAGGCCGCGGTCACCGCAGATTTGGCCGCGACGAATGCCGAGCTAGTGGAAGCCCGCTCAGCGCTGGGTTCAGTGGTTGTCGTTGACGATACGACAGTAAGTGCACGGCTGGATGACTTTAATGTGAGCAGCGATGATGATGGTGACGATAATAACGAGCTGGAGCCTGGCGAGTCGATGCTGGACGTGAGCGAACTTCGGGAGACACTCGGAGATGCATGTGAGGATGCCGAGGACCGGCTGGTCCAAATCCGCCGGATCATGCGCGTGGCCGGCGAGCTGGTCGAGTCATGGGCAATGCCTAACGAGCGGCTGCGCAACGAGATCGCCGAGCTGCGTGAGGAGCTGGCGGTGCGTGCACAGCGGGAGCACCTCTCGCTTGATGAGTTCAACCTGAGTGACGAAGAGCCCGGGTTTGACGTCAGCGATTCGTCCTCGGTCTCGTCGCTTGAGTGTTCGATTGCGGACACGCCGGTCGTCCGCCGGGCTGCGGTCGCTCTCGCACATGCGTCGCCGCAATCGCCAACCGTTGCACTTCCTGCCGCCGGCAGTGCCTCTGAGTTGGATGTGTTGCGGGTGCAACACGCGCGCCTTTCCGATTTGCTTGCAGCGCTGATGGCGACCGAGGGCAGTGAGGCAGGGGCTGCAGCGGTGGCACAAATGGAGGAGCTCGCAGCCGAGAATGCACGCCTCCGCCATGACAGAGGACTCTTGTCGGACGCTGAAGCTGGATTCCGAGCACGCGACGCTGGAAGCGAAGCTGAGCTAGCCAAGGCAGCGGCCAAAATTCGGATGCTGGAGGACACGCTGAAGGAGGCGAAGACCGAGGCCGATGCCGAGCGGACCTTGATGACACGACGTGGTATCGCCATGGCGGAAAAGTTCGAGTCCGCCCAGAAGCTTCTCCGCCAGTACCTCGAGTCCGAGCAGGCCGGTGAGGCGTCAACGACGCGGCTTGTTGAGCAGCTGACTGAGGACAAGCTTGCGCTTGAAGGCCAGCTGGAAGATGCCAAGGCCAAGTCAAGGCAAGCCATAGGTTTGGAGCGCAAGCTGGCTGAGGCACAGATGGAGCTCCAGGTGAATGCACGCAAGTACGAGGCGCGTCTTGTGGCGCTGGAGGCCAAGCACTTGCGGGTGAAGAGCATGCTAGAGACCGTGCTGGAGCGCGAGGACGGGACCGCAAACAACGTGCTGGTGGCAAACGTCGAGTCGCTGCTGGACGAAATCGCCGAGCTGCGCGGCCAGAACGATGCGCTTTCGCGCAGCATTCTGAACACGCCGTCTGGACCACCAGACGCGATTCTTATGCCGATGCGGTCGGCAATGTCGTCGGAAGCGTCACGTGAGCATCTGCGGGAGCGGTACGAGGTTGTCTCGGAAGAGAAAGCGCGCTTGGAGGGCGAGGTGACGCGACTTGGCGAGGCACTTTCTGCACACGAGGCTGCGCTCTGCGCGTTGGCTGAGGAGCACAAGGCGGCGCAGGCGGCGCGTGGCGACGTAGACACGGAGACGATGCGGCTCCAAGAGGCCAATTCGCGGCTCCGTGACCAGCTTGGGAGGCTCAATGCCGACCTTGCCGAGGCGCACGGCGCAGTAGATGAGGCGCAGGCCAAAGCCAACGAGGCGCTGCGGCAGGCCGCGGCCGCCGAGGCTGACCTTGCTGCCGAGCGCGAAGCCGGTGAGCTACGTGAAGAGCGGCTTGCGGCGCGGCTCAATGCGCTGATGGAGAAGTTTTATGTGGTCCAGAGCGCGCTGGCGTCGTATGCAGACGACGAAGAGTCTGGAGCGGAGAAGCTGAGCGCACAACTGGTGCGGCTATCGTCGGAAAAGTCGCAGTTGGAAGAGGAGCTTGCGGCAGCCGAGGCGCAGGCGCAGCAGGGCATTCTTTTGGAGCAGAGGCTGCAAGAACGCGAGCGTGAGGTCGAGGCCCGTGACGGGCGGTATGAGGCCAAGATCTCGGCGCTAGAAAACCGACTTAGCCAGTTGATGAGTCTTGTGGCGCAGGCACTGGAGGGTGAGGACGCGGCCGGGTCGATTGTGGAGCGGGTTGGGTTCCTTGCGGAGGAGAACGAGGCGCTGCGCCACGAGAACGAGCAGCTGCTGGGCGTGGTTCGCCTACAGGACATGTCCGGGCGGACGTCGTCGGATCACGAGGCGCTGGACCGGCTGGCCATGGACGAGCAGTTGTCGCGGGCGCGGGCACGGATTGCGATTGCCGAGAGTGCCAAGGTGGAAGCTGAAGTGCGCGCCGAACAGGCGCGAGCGCGCGCACTTGCCCTGGAAGAGGCTGCCACCGGACGATTTGAGGACTCGGGGCTAGCCGATGAGTTAGAGCGGCTACAAGTGATGTGGCGCGAGAGCGAGGCGAGCAAGACAGAGCTCGAGGTCGAGGTGGCCAAGATGGAGGCGCGAATCCGGGCCAGTGCAGCAGACACAGCTGCGCTATCGCGTGTCCGGACCCGGCTGGAGGTGGCAGAGGGCGAGTTGGTCGAGTCACGTCAGCGACGCAAGAATGCCGAGGTCCGGGCTGCAGAGCTCGAGGTTATGCTCGAGCGCGCAAATGACCACATCACGCGCCTCGAGCGAGCCGTCGGGTCTGGGGATGATGCTGCGGAAGCCGATGCTGCCTCCGTTTCGGTGCTCGAAGCCATGCTGGAGGCCAAGGAGGGCGCGCTCGCAGATGCCGAGGCTGCGCACAAGCAAGTGGTGGACGCGCTCGAGAGCGCGCTTGCGGATCAGGGCCGGGTGTTGTCACGGTCGAACGCGGCCCGCGCCGAGCTTCAAGTCCATGTGGGTGAGCTTGAGGCGCGGCTAGCCGAGCTGAGCGGCGCACCAAAGGTAGTGCTGACTCCCGAGGATAGCGTGGAGGTCCGGCAAGAGGATGTGGATGTCGGCAAGATGACTGCGCTCAAGGCGTCGCTGCTCGAGAAAGAGGCAATCATCAAGTCGCTGCGAGCTGAGGCCGAGCGGCAAGCAAGCACCGCAGCGGAGCGGATTGCTTTTCTGGAGAATGTAGGTGCCGCCGCCGAGCCGTGTGCTGTCGCCGACAACAAGGAGCCCGATGCCATAGTTGTGGAGTTGGAGGCTTTGCTGGCGACAAAGGTGGAAGAAGTCGATGCCGCTGTCGCCAAGAACGGTGAGCTGGAGGCCAAGATCAAGAACTTGGAGTCCAGAGTCGAAGAGCAGAGTATGACTGTCGGTGAGGTCGAGTCTGTCCTGCGCGACGAGCTTACGTTAGAAAAGGCAAGGTTGGAGACATTGAGGCTGTGGTGATCAGTCTCGAGGCCTCGCTTGCAGAGAAGACTTCTGCGATCACAACTTTGGAGGCCGAGGTCAAGAAGATGGAGGCCGCCGTCGCCGCACACGAGGTCATGCTGGAGGATGAACGGAGCGCTTCGGCTTCCAAGATCGAGGAGCTCGAGACTGTGGTGACTGGGCTTGAGGCCTCACTGGCGGAGAGGACCAGCTCAATCGCCACACTCGAGGCCGAGGCCGAGAGGATGGAGGCCGCCGTCGCCGCACACGAGGCCACGCTGGAGGATGAACGGAGCACTTCGGCGTCCAAGATCGAGGAGCTCGAGACTGTGGTGTCTGGACTCGAGGCCTCACTGGCGGAGAAGACCAGCTCAATCTCCGCACTCGAGGCCACGCTGGAAGATGAACGGAGCATTTCGGCGTCCAAGATCGAGGAGCTCGAGACTGTGGTGACTGGACTCGAGGCCTCACTGGCGGAGAAGACCAACTCAATCGGCACACTTGAGGCCTCGTTGGAGGATGAACGGAGCGCTTCAGCGTCCAAGATCGAGGAGCTCGAGACTGTGGTGACTGGACTCGAGGCCTCACTGGCGGAGAGGACCAGCTCAATCGCCACACTCGAGGCCGAGGCCGAGAGGATGGAGGCCGCCGTCGCCGCACATGAGGCCACGCCGGAGGATGAACGGAGCACTTCGGCGTCCAAGATCGAGGAGCTCGAGACTGTGGTGACTGGACTCGAGGCCTCACTGGCGGAGAAGACCAACTCAATCGCCACACTCGAGGCCAAGGCCGAGAGGATGGAGGCCGCCGTCGCCGCACACGAGGCCTCGTTGGAGGATGAACGAAGCGCCTCAGCGTCCAAGATCGAGGAGCTCGAGACTGTGGTGACTGGACTCGAGGCCTCACTGGCGGAGAAGACCAACTCAATCTCCGCGCTTGAGGCCTCGTTGGAGGATGAACGGAGCGCCTCAACGTCCAAGATCGAGGAGCTCGAGACTGTGGTGACTGGACTCGAGGCCTCACTGGCGGAGAAGACCAACTCAATCGCCACACTCGAGGCCGAGGCCGAGAGGATGGAGGCCGCCGTCGCCGCACACGAGGCCACGCTGGAGGATGAACGGAGCGCTTCAGCGTCCAAAATCGAGGAGCTCGAGACTGTGGTGTCTGGACTCGAGGCCTCACTGGCGGAGAAGACCAACTCAATCGCCATACTCGAGGCCGAGGCCGAGAGGATGGAGGCCGCCGTCGCCGCACACGAGGCCTCGTTGAAGGATGAGCGGAGCGCCTCAGCGTCCAGGATCGAGGAGCTCGAGACTGTGGTGTCTGGACTCGAGGCCTCACTGGCGGAGAAGACCAACTCAATCGCCACACTCGAGGCCGAGGCCGAGAGGATGGAGGCCGCCGTCGCCGCACACGAGGCCTCGTTGAAGGATGAGCGGAGCGCCTCAGCGTCCAAGATCGAGGAGCTCGAGACTGTGGCGAGTGGACTCGAGGCCACGCTGGTGATGAAGACTACTTCGATCGAAACCATGTCGCGAACGATCCAGCAAGTTGAGCACGAGCGCGATGATACCGTGGCCCAAGCCGAGCGGCTTGAGGCCGAGCTGCGGAGGGCAATTGCAGCCCGCGACGCCCGTGACGCTGACCTTCTTGCTCTGGAGGACGAGCTGACGACGGTGCGAAACTCGCTCCGTGACGCCCGCTCGCAGGCGGCAGCCGCACAGACTGCATGTGACGATGCTGTATTTGAAGCCGAGTCGCTCACCTCGCGGCTCGAGGCTGAGCAGGCGCGGCTAGCAAAGACCCAAGACGAGCTGGCTGCCACCACTGAGCGTGCCGATGAGGCCGACCGCATTCTAGAGCGGTCGGCAGCTGCCATGGCTGAAGTTGACGACCTGCGGACGAGCAACACGGCGCTACTTGCCGAGATTGCGCAGCTCTCGGCTGAGGCCGAGGACCGTGTCGCCGCTGCCGTCGCTTGCCAGACCGAGCATCTCGAGGCCGAGCGCGACTCGCTGGCGTCGGCAAACGCTGCTCTGCAGAGCCAGACCGAGTCGCTACGGCTCGACCATGAAGCCTCGCTGCAAGTCTCGTCGTCAACTATTCTCGAGCTGGAGGACGCCAAGACTGAGCTGGAGGCCAAGCTGGATGCTGCCCGCGGCGAGCGCGATGCGGCGCTAGCACTGCAGGACGAGCTGAAGGAGGCACAAGCCGGGATCGAAGCCGACCTCCGCAAGCTCGCCGAAGAGCAAGCAACCAAGGTTGACGAGCTGCAGACGCAGCTAGCGCTCGCTGAGGAGACCGTCATGGTCCATGCAGCCGTGCTCACCGCCCGCGACCGCGACCTTGCCGACGCCCGCGCACAGCTCGAGGCAGCTCATGCCGACCTGGAGCAGATGGCGGTGCTCGGCAAGGAACTCAGCGCCAAGGCTGCCGCTGCCCAGCGCGCGGAGGCGGCGGCTGTGCAGCGCGCCGAGCGCGCCAAGGCTGCCGCCCAGGACGCGCAGCTGCAGGCCGAGGCCATCACCTCATCGCGGAGCTCGCTGCTGGCAGATCTCCACGCGGCTCAAGCGTCACTGGAAGACTCGCGTACCGAGGTGGCCAAGCTGCGGGTAGAGGTTCAGCGCTTTGACGCCGAGCTGGCCACCGTGCGTGCCCAGAATGCCTCGCTCACCTCAGAGCTCGATGCCGAAATGATCCACGGGGCCAAGCTTCAAGAGCAAGTCAACGCCATGCACGGACTGCGGACCCAGTCGCTCAACGCCGAAGCAACCGCCGAGGATCTACGCCGGACGCTCGAAGCCGAGACACTCGCGCGCGAGGCCGCCCAGGACGACGCGGTCGCACTCCGTGACCGTCTTGCTGCCGCCACCCGCGAGCTCACTCAGTCGCGGGCAAGCTGTGCCGATGCAATTCGCGACCGCGACGCGCTTCAGGCACGGCTGGACGCTGCACTTACACTGCAGTCGACGGTTGAGGCTCGATGCACCCGTCTTGCGACCGAGGCCGATGCCGTGCCGCAGCTCCGCAAGGAGCTGCGCATGTTGCAGCGAAGCGTTGATGCGGCCCAGGCCGAGAATCGCGAACTCGAGCGTGCCGTCGAGGCTCAGCGCGAGCGAGTCCAGGCCGAGCGCGCGTCGGCTGCAAGCGCCGTATCCGAGCGGACAGCGGCGCTAGCAGAGGCCGAGCGAATGCGGATCGAGCTGCAGACGGCCGAGGCTGCTCTTGCCGCCGCTCAGGCGGCAGCTGCTGACGCCCGCGCCGCCGCCGACGAGGTTACTGTCGCGCTTGTCGTGCGCGACGGCGACCACGCGTCGGCGGTCACAGCTGTCGAGACTCAAATTGCGGCCGCCCGCGCTGAGGCGCAGGCCGCGCTCGAGGCCGCGGACGCAGCCGAAGGCCGAGCCGCTCAGAGCGCCGCCCGAGTCGCTGCCGTCCAAGCCGAGCTCGCTGCCAAGGACTCTGGTCTTGCCGAGCTCCGAGCCTCGCTCACTGCTGCCCGCAACGAGCTTTCGGCAACGCGGGTTGCGCTCTCGGGGGCACAGGCCGAGGCCGAGCGCGATGCCGCTGCCGCGGCTGCTTCTGCTTCGCAGCTGGAGCAGACCAAGGTGCAGCTGGACGAGCAGATGCAACTTCTAGAGGCTGCAGATGAGCGAGCTGCACGGGCCGAACGGGCGCAGGGAGTGGCTCGCGCCGAAGCCGAGTCGGCGCGAGCCAAGGCAGTGTCTGCCGCCTCTGATGCCGCCCGTCTACGCGACGAGCTCGACACTGCGCGTCAGGCCGCCGCTGAGGCCCGGGTCGAGTTTGAGCTTGCTGACGCAGCCCGCGAGGAGGCTGTGACTTCTGCCGACGCGCTTGTGTCGCGGGTGCAAGTCCTGGGCACACAGTTGAAAGAGGCCCGCGTCCAGCTGCAGGCTGCGTACGACGAGGCAGCGGTGGCCAAGAGCGCGGCGGCGGAGCGCGAGCAGGATCTCCGCAACGAGTCCCAGTCGGAGATCCGCCGCCTCGAAGCCGCGCTCGAGCGCGCGCAGGCAGCAGCTGTGCAGGCAGCCGACACCGCTGCAGCCCAGACGCAGTCGGACATGCAAAGCCAATGCTCCGAGGCCGACGTCGACGCGGTGCGTGAGCGGATGAAGGACCAGTACGAGAGCCTGCTGAGCCAGGTCAAGGGCGCGCACAAAGCGGCTGCCGCCAGATCTGCACAACGAATTGCCGACTTGGAGGCGCGGCTGGAGGACGTTGAGCGAGCGGCCGACGAGGCCCGCATGGCCGCGCGCGCCGCACAGGAACGAGGCTCGGGGGCGCCGCACAGCTTGCGCCTCTCGGCCGCAGAGCTGGAGGAGATCCGGCAGGCGCTGGCAGCCGCGCTTGCCGACACCGAGCTCTCGGCTGAGATTTGTGTGCATGTCGAGGCGCTGGAAAGCAGCCTTGTGCCGCTGCAGCGGCTGCTTGAGCAGGCCGGAGCCGGGCGCGAGACTGGCGAGCTTGACGCTGACCTAGTGGTGGCAAGCGCCGCCGAGGGCCGCGGCCCAAGCCCAGCGTTTGTGGTCGAGATCGACGCCGAAGGCGATGAACCAGCAGCGCTGGTGCGGATGCTGGCCGCGCAAATGGAGGCCGAGGCGGCGTTTCTGGCAGGCGAGTCGAGCCGACTGGCCAAGGCCGGCATGGGCGTGTCGGACGAGTTGGTCTCGACGCTTCACAGCTTGCTTGCCGAGAATGCGCAACTGCGTGCTGCAGTTGCAGCGAAAACCCGGGCGCTGGAGGATGCGGCGGAAGTCGGCGGTCGTGCGGCTGAGACGAGGATTGCTCAGCTGTTGGAGGAGCGCAGCGCGCTTGCGGTCAAGCTTGCCGAGGCGCAGAGCGCAGTGCAGGCGTCCGACCGTGCCACACAGGGCGCGGTACGCAAGGCGCTCGTGGCTCAGGCCGAGCAGGCCGAGCGCGAGCGGGCCCGCGCGCTAGCCAAGGTCGACGACGCGGCGATGGCGCACATTGCGCGTAATGCTGAGGCGATGGCATTAGTGCAGGCACTGGCAGCCGGAAGCCAGCCGGGTGGGTTGTCGCGGGCAGCGCGTCTGGTGGCCGACGAGGTGGCGCCTGCGGTCGATTCGCGCGAGGCCGATGCCGCGCGGAAGTGGAGCCAGGCCGAGGCGCGATACTCTGCCCACGTCGGCCAACTTGAGACCGAGCTGGCACGGCTGCAGGCCAAGCTGACTGGCACAGCTGCGCCTGACGTTGCCGATCTTCTCTCCCAGCTTCACCTGGAGCAGCAGGCGCGGGTCCACGCGCAGGCCGAGGCTACGGCGCAGCAGGCCGCCGGCGCTCGGCTCAAGACCGACATGCTTCGCGAGATCTCGCGTCTCCGCGTCAAGCTGCAGCAAGTCCAAGTCCGATTCCTCGAGCTCGAAAACGAATCCCAAGCCGAGACACTTGCCCTCAGGGTCAAGCTCCATCATGTCCTTGACGACTCTGACATCGACGCCCGCGTGATCTCCAGCCCTTCTGCGGTGACCAGCGCGCTTCATCTACGGTAACCAACGTAGCCAACTCAATCCAAACAGCAGACAGAGCCCATCATTGATCCCTCCCTCTCCTTCCCCCTCCCCCTCCCCCCCTCCCCCCCCCCCCCCCCCCGCCCCGACCCGCGACCGCCAGTCGGTGACCCGCTCCGGCCGGCCAGTGAGCCGCTGTCGGCCAGCAAGCCAGCCAGTTCCGCAGCAAACAGCAAGCCAGCACTTGACGTCCTCCCCTCTCCAGCCGGATGCTCAACGTTGTGCGTTCTGCAGCCAGTCTGCAGCGAGTGAGCGGAGGAGTTGCAGGTGTCATGCGCATGGGTATGGGTATGGGTAGCCGTGGCTATGGGCGTGTGGCGGGAGTGTGTGGTGGTGAGGGAGTGGCGGAGGCTGTCGATGACGGACCATCCGTCGAGTGCGAGGAGGGTCTGGCCGCGGCAGGGATGGACACGGGAGATGGCCTGATGACGTATGAGGAACGTGGTGGGGCTGGTGTTTATGCTGTGTTTGCGGCTGGTGGCAAGCAGTACAAGGTCCAGGTCGATGATGTGGTGGCTATGGATGCCCTCAAGGGTACCTCCCTCGGTGACGCGGTCGCCTTTGACTCGGTCCTGGCCATCGGATCGCCAGCAGAGACTCTCGTCGGCACTCCGTACTTGCCCAACACAAAGGTTGTGGCTCAGGTCATCGAGGTCACTCGCTCTGCAAAGGCGACAGTCTTCAAGAAGAAGCGCCGCAAGGGCTACACCCGTACCGCCACCCATCGCGCCCCCATCACCGTCCTCCGCATCGACTCCATCGTTGCTCTCTGATCGAAGGAGCACTCAAGGAACATCTCGCTGGCAAAGACAGCACTCGGCCACGCTGCCACGATGTCGCGCTATCACACTGCCATGCTGCCACGCCGTCACGCTGTCACGCTGTCGTCTGATCCCATGCTGGTCCTCGCTTTGGTGCCCGCGCGCCGCAGACTCGGCCCTCTCCATCCTGTTGACCTCTGCCGTCATGCCGCCAGATCAACCCCCCTCCACCCCCCCTCTCCACCCGTTCAGCATCTACCCCTCTGCCATCCGCACTACTGCGGTCATTGTCGGCTCTGTTCGCCGCACACGCACACTGATGCGTAAACACCCTCACCACACGCACAGCACACCCGCACAACACACACATGGCCACATCCTCGACCCGACGTGCCTTAATCATCATCAGTAGCAGTAGCAACAGCACCATCACCATCACCCTCATCATCGTCATCATCATCATCATCATCATCGCCTTCACCTTCACCTTCCCCCCATCATCACACCCATCATCACACCCATCACACATACCGCACCCATCACACCCATCACACCCATCACACCCATCACACCCATCATCACACACAGTGGTGGGCGAGATGGAGTACGCTGAGGTCAATCCCCTTGCTCGTTCGGCGGGCACCACTCGTCTGCCTGCGCGCCACACTCAACATGGACGACATTGGCGCCATGGCCGACTCGGTGACTCGCCAGCTCGCAGAGGCCACTTCGACAGCCAGCATCTACCTCCGTCTTGCTGGCAACCGACTGCTTTCCCCTGTTGCACTCAAGCTCACCGATGCCCTCTCCCCAGCTCAGGGCGTCCTCGTCACCATGGTCCTCTTCTCCGCCCGTACGCCCACCCAAACCAGCCCATGCCACCCGACCCGGCGCTCCCTGCCAACGCCTCCTTGCCTCTGCTTGCGCTCTCTCGCTCTCTGTCCCTGTCCAGACGGCTCACTTTTTTTTTGGTCGCAGTCGATATTTTTGGCGCCCCTTTGCTCCCCGTCTCATCGCCATGATGCATCTGGCTCTTCTCCTCAGCACTAACTCACATGTGATGCTGTTTTCAATGGTTGATCTTTGTTTCCCTCGCCGCTTGTCGTTTCTATGCACCCCACCGCTTGTTGATGTATGTATGCGTCCGTCGCCGCACTGTGGCGTGGCTTGTTTCGTTGTGCGCAATCGCGTCGGACAGTGCTCACGCTGGCCTATGTTTCGCTTGACTTGGTCCTTGCCTCGATGATGCCGTCGCTCATTCGGGCTATCCGTCGGACCAACGATGTACTCGTCTGGCGCATCGAGCTGCTCATTGCCGTGGTGATGGTGGTCTCGGTCTCTGCGGCCGACGCCGCCAGCCCGACGGCGGCCATCGACGACCTGGCCATGGTCTTTCTCCTTGTTGCTCTTACTGCCGCCGGACTCAACTTTCTGATCGGTGCCGCTTCGCTCGGCCGCCGGGTTGTTCAACTCCTGCACATTGTCCGCATCCTCGTCCTCATCGCCCTCCTCGCCCGCGCCTTTGTCGTCCCCGGCACCGCAGTCAACCCGTCGGACCTGGCTGTGGACTCGTCGATCGTCGCCGAGCCGGTGCCCGACCCCATCAAGGCCGCCGACCCGAGCCTGCGCCCCGAGTTGTAGCCACCCATCCCCTGGCATGAAAAGCATGTAACTACCCTGGTCCGAGTCACTCTTCCGCCACGCGCTTGACGACGCCGGCCTCGTCGATGGAGGCCGCCAGCCGTGGGACCCGGCGGCGATCCCGCGGTACAGCAACGACGAGGACCGAATTGAGCTCCTGGTCGACCTCGCTACCCTTTGTGGTGCAGCTGGCAGCGTTGACCGAGAGCCGCTTGCGGGTGGCGGCCACGCCGGCGCCGGAATGGATGTGGCCAAAGACATGGAGCCGCGGCTTGAGCGCCCGCACTCGCTTGGCCAAGTCGGCACAGCCAAACGGCTTGCCTGCCGTCCGTGGGTCGTAGCTCGACGAGTCGAGCACGCCATGCGGCGGAGTGTGGGTGACCAGCACATCCGCCCCGGGCTCCAGGCGACCGAGCTCATGCCGGAGACCAGGCGAGCCTCGTGGGAAGCCAAAGGCCATCTGCGGGCGCGACTTGGGCTGCCGCGGCATGGCAGCGAGGCCGGCGACCGTCAGTCCCCCAGCAATCTCAATCTGCTCGCCGTGGACAAGGACGTGGAGCCCTGCACCTGCCGCATCCGCCGCCGCCAGCACCTCGACAAGATCGGTGGCCACCTGTTCAGGCGCCTCGTGCTCGGCCACCCAGCTCTCCCAGTTGGCCTCATACGCCGCAGCGTCCATGCATAGATCATGGTTGCCCGGCACATAGATCATGTCATCAAAAGGGAGTCGCGCGAGCCAGCCGAGGAACGGCTTGATCTCGCTCGCCCACTCACCACGCACAGCCGCATCACCAGCATGGATCACCGTGGTGCATCCATCCAATTCTGCCGCCGCCGCCAGCGCTGCCTCCAATCGCTCGTGATGTCCGTGGGTGTCCGAAATGCACGCAATCAGCCACGCTCCGTCGTCTTCTGTCGCAGCCATTGCCAATCGCCGATCGCTCGCAGGCGTAGGTACTCCGAGCGACAAGTGATGGCCAATCAGGGGGGGGGGGGGGGGGGGGGGGGCATATAACGCCGCCTAGAGGCCACACATAAACACATAAACACACAAACACACACAAATTGCACAACATGTTTTCATTCGCCAGCATCCGCTAGAGATCAAGATCGGCGGCAAACTCGGGCTCGACCATCTCCCACACCTCGTTGTCGTCGCAGAGGAGACCGACCCTGGAGAAGACGTCCTCCCACATGCTCTGGACAGCAAGATCGAGCTCTTCGCGGTACTCGGCCTCGGCAGCGGCCTCGACAGGCGTCCACGATGCCGGATCAGCGGCGGCGATGGATGCTGCCCGCTCGGCAAGCACGGTCCGCACGTCCTCGTCGAGCGGGTCGCGCTTGGAGCGCGAGGCCGACCGGCGCGTGCCACGCTTGCCAGACTCATCGTGCGAGGCAGCGAGGTTGGCGCCGGTTGCGACTGAGCGCTTGGAGCGGTTGCGACCGAGGCGGGCATCTTCGGATGCATCACGGTCGCCGCGGATACCACGCTTCGGCGGAAGCGTCGCGCTCTCATCGCGGGCCTCGAGCTCGGCCAGCGGGTTGCCCGACGGCAGGAGCGAATGGAGGGCGGCAACAACGGCCGGGTCGGCAAGGTCCAGGCTGCCGCCGGTCGAATCGGCTTTGAGTGCGGCCGAGACGTTGGCCGGCAGCGGGCGGACAAACGGCCGCGGCTCGAGCCCGTTACGGTCGCGGAGGAGGTCGGCCCGGACCGGCAGCTCGTCGAGCATCTCGACCAGCAGACCGTAAACAATGGAGTAGTTGGTGTTGACCGGCGCAGAGACTGGCGCAAACGACGCAGCGTCGATGAGAGCATTGAGCTGCGCAGCGTGCTCTGCGCAAGCATCCTTGAACGGAATTGCTGCCACCAGCGTGTGAAGCTCATTGAGCGAGCCGGACCACACAAAGTGGGCGTTGCTGGCCGCGATCGCAGCCGCCGACGCAGCACGCGAGAGCACAAACGACGTCGTCTTTGCGCGGTCATGGACCCGCAGCTCGTAGCCCGACGCAGACTCACCGGCGTACTCGTCGTAGCCGTCGGCCTCGGAGAGGCCCGAGACCGACGCATGCGAGAGCGACGCCCGCGAGAGCGACGCCCGCGAGAGGCCTGGCTCGACCTCGTTGCCGCCAGCGGGGCTTGCCGCGCGCGACGCAGAGTCGCCGCCGCCGGAGCCGTGAACAGAGCCTTCAGACGAGGTGCCTGCCTGGGCCGGGTCGGTTGCCGACGGCAGTCCGAGGACGTACGCCGAGTACGCGAGATCCTCGAGCGACTCGAACCATGTGGGTGAGTACGCGAGCTGGGTTCCCGGGTTGGCGGCAAAGAACCGGCGGCCGGCGTCATGCTCGTCGGGCGACTCGACCTCGGGCTTGGTCGCCGACGAGTCGAGAATGGATGAGATGACCTCGTCGAGGATCTCCGAGGCCGCCATGCGGATGACCGCTACCTCGAGCCGGTACTCGAGAGCCTCGCGGACTTCGCGCTTGTGGTCAAAGCCGACGGCCATGGCCCGGAGCGTGACCTCAAACGGCGAGCCGCGGGTGACCGGCGACGTCGTCAGACGCCAGACCTGCTTGAAGTGGCCGGCGTTGGGCGTGGTAAAGACAAAGGCGAAATCGTGCGCCGCGCCTGGGAGGATCGAGCCGGTCAGGTCGTGAAAGTAGAACCGCTGCTGCGAGTCGCGGGTCACGCCGAGCTCGTTTGGCAGCGGAACAAGCTCCCACTTGTAGTGGAGCACCGTTGTGCCGTTGTTAAAGGTGTGGAGCGTCTTGCGCGCCGCAACCTCGACGTTTGTCTCGAAAAAGAGCGACGACGATGAGACACGCAGCGACGGCCCGGCCACGCTGCCGACCGACGATGTCCGCGACTCGGCCCGCGACGCCGGAAAGACGGCGGCCGCTGCAAGCGCGTCCGCTCCGACCCCACGCTGCCCGAGCATCGGCAGCTCGTTCTGCAGGTCACCGTCATACTCAAACTGGTCGATGCCGTCCATGCCCGACCCCCGTGAGACAACCGACCGCCGTCCGTCACCGTCGCCGTCGTCGCCGTCGCCGCCGCCCGCCACACCGCCCGCCGCCAGGTAGTACCCGCTTTCCTCGGCAGGAGCATTCCCGCTGGCAAACGGCGACTCGCCGACAATGGCCAGCGCGGCAAAGTCCGGCTCGGGCGGCTGAACTGCTGCAATGTACCGTGCCAGCTGCCGCTTGCGCTGGCGGAGGTACTGCGATGGCTTCACGAGGCCGGTGTTGCCGCGCGCCAGCGACGCGCCACCCTGGCCGGGCTGAGGGTTGAGGATGGCGTCGGCGTCGAGCTGGTCGAGCGGGACAACCCGAATCCGCTCGACAGGCTCGTTGGAGACCGGCGGGATGGTGGCGGTGAGGCCGGTGATGTCGTTGCCAATGCGGATGTGCTCTGGCCAGAACGAACCGCCGGCAGACTTGCCCGATGTCTCGTACATGGGGATGGCCTTGTCGATAATGGCACGCTCCTCGACAAGCGCCCGGAACGCCGAGGCCTTGGTAAAAACCAACTCGTTCGGCGCCTTGCCCACCCGCGCCGCCAGTCGCTCCTGCTCGCGCCGCCACACCGCACGCTGCCGCTCCCACCGGGCGAGGGCCCGCTCCTGTCGGCCCTCAGCGATCCGCTCGTGCATCAGCATCATCGCCTGCCGCTCGGCCTCCTTGGCCTCGTCGCGCGCAGCCGCCTCGGCCAGGTAAGCGCCGAGCGCCGAGTTGGAGCGCAGCGGCGGGAGCGGGCGGCGGGCTGAGAGCTCCGACGAGTCTGAGGGCTCCGACTCGCCGCTGCCGCCGCCGAGTGGCAGGGCTTGCAGCCGTGGCCGTGCCCCGTGGCGCAGCGCATGCATGGTCTCGAACTCGTTCGGCTTGCCTAGCACCGCATACGGCTTGAGCTCGCCGGTTGCCGGCTCGCGCGGCAGCAGCTCGACCACATCGACGCCCTGCGCCCGCATCGCTGCCGACACTGCTGAGCTCAGCGGAGTGCCGGGCTTGCCTGGCGAGCCGCGCTTGCCTCCAGCCGTCGACGTCTTGAGCCGCACCGCCGTCTCGCCCGAGCCGAGGACCAGGGTCTCGCCTTCGCGCAGCCGCCTCGCCACCGCCACTCGCCGCACCGGCAGCTGCGGCAGGGCAGCAGCGCTTCCGCCACCATCGCCACCGACCCGCGGCGGACGGCCCGAGCCCGGCACACCGCCGACACCGGCTCCATCCAGCCGACCATTCGCCCGCGCCGGCGGACCAGCATGATCTCCCCCCGGCAGGCTCTCTGGCGGGACCGGAGCATACGACTGGCTCCCACGCGACCTTGAACGCCTCACCAGCACTCTCCGCCTCTTGCCCAAGGGCGCGATGGAGCGAGTGCTCGCCGCCATCTCCAAGCTCACATCGACATCATCACCAACGCCGCCACCAGCATGATCAGCATAACCATCACCGTCGCCGCCAGCATTGGCAACACCAGAAGCAGAATATCGAGCCTTTGCACCACCTTGACGAGCAGGCGGCGGAAAGGGAGCACCACCGCCACCACCACCATGTCGAGTCCGTGGAGAGGATGTCATTGCAGAAGCTGAAGGAGGTCTGCTTGGCCTTGCCCCACCACCACCACCTCTTCCGCTGTCACCTCTGTGTTGTTGCTGCTGCTGCTGCTGCTGCTGCTGCTGCTGCTGCTGCTTGCCATGCCCATGCCCATACTGCTGCTGCTGTTGCTGTTGCTGCTGCTGCTGGCCTCCGCCTCCTTCGCTTCGGTGCTGGCTGCCTCTTCCCCGCCCTCCACTACGTCCGCCATACTTCCGTGTGTTGCCTCCTTCCATTGCTTTTGGAGCGTGGAGGGGTGGTGGTCTTGGTGGTAGGGGGGGGGACGGGGGGGGGGGAAGCCGGCGGTGGCATGGCGGGTCGGCGCCATTGGCCGGTTGTCCGCCCAACAACGGTCGAGTTGGACTGGGCTGGCGCCGATTGAGCTGGACTGCCATTTAGCAAGGGGGGGGAGGGGGGAAGCGGGGGAAGGAGGAGGGAGGGCTTAAGAGTGTGGTTGGGAGGAGGGAGGGAGGGAGGGAGGGGGGGGGGGATGGCGGTGGTGATCGTCATCGTGGTGATGATGATGATGATGATGATGATGAGGGAGGGGCATGATGGCGATCGAGAATAGCCCGAGATCGGGCATAGAGTGTCACTAGCACCTCACATACTACACCTTTCATCTCGATCAACGCTCTCCACCACCTGATCTCCTCCGTTTACCACCACCCATCAACAGCTCAACCCATCGATACGCTCTGTTGCCCCCCTTGCGCCGATGACATTCCATCATCACTCATGCCGTTTCGTTACCCGTTCGTTCAATTCCTTCAATTCGTTCAATTCCTTCAATTCGTTCGTTTCGTTGAATCGATTCGTTTCGTTGAATCGATTCGTTTTGTTTGTTCCGTTTGTTCCGTTTGTTCCGCTCGATTCGTTCGTTTCGTTCGTTTCGTTCGTTTCGTTCAATCGATTCGTTCGTTTCGTTCGTTTCGTTCAATCGATTCGTTCGGAAAGTGGCGGTCTGAAATTGAGCTCGCGCAAATGGCCCTGGCTATGGACACTGTTTTTCACTTCCAATACCACTCTCACTTCAGACCCAAAATGGTATGTCGACTGCCCTACCATGCCATTCTTGCAGAGGCTAGAGGGCCACAGAACTGCATACAGGACTGGAGAAGCAGCTAAGGGGGTGTACCTGGTGACGGTACATAGTGTGAGGTTGTTGGTATGACCATGTTCTCCATCCCTACCTCGCTATGGCCCTTGGTCACTCCCCTTACCACTGCCTCTGTCTCCCTCCGATGGGTTTTTGTCTGTTCACCCGCCCATCCACCACTCGGCCCTCCCCTCCTCCACATTCTCCAACCATTCCCTGTCCATTGCCTTCCCGCCACTCTCCCCTTCACGCCCTGCTCTTTCCTCTGCTCCTTCCTCTCCTCCTCCATCTCCTCCATCTCCCCTCCACGCCTTGTGCTGGTCCTCGGAGAACGACCATGTGATGAGTTTTTTGTCGGCTTTGCCTCTCGGCCGCCCTCCCCCTCCCC